CATGAATTAGTCCAGTCAGTTGATTGATTACAATCTCAGCAATGAACAACCAATACATTGGATTCTTGACCTGTTCTTATGCTATATTGGTGTTATTTCATTCTTTAGTCAAGATATTTACGTATTTAGCCAATATATTACTTATTACAACCCTTGCATATAACTGTATATACACAACTATTGCAACTATACTGGGGAAATTTTAATGTGTTTTTTTAAACTAATGAAAGTATTATGAGCAATTTGACTGGCTTTATTAATAACAGACTTAGGTTATTTTAAATTAAAATCTAGACCATATGACACTAATTTCATCATTATAAACTCAGGATTACATATCCTTGGAGCCCCCAAAACATTGAAAAAAATACAACTTATTGTTTCTCTCTTTGATGTTGAGGCGAGTACAAGAATACATCCTAACGCAACATTTATTAGTTTTGTACATCCAGAAAACTTGAAGTTATTTTTCACACTTGTAAATTAACTCATCTAAGAATGATAAATAATAGTTTTTTCTTCAGTTTCCATTGTAAACTTGATGGATGGGGCTAGATTACTTAATTCTAATACAAAAGTGTTAAGATTTGTATATATATACGCTTTCATAAATATTCACCTTTTCTTCCTTCTCTCCGTTGCCTTTTCACCATCGTTACCACCTGTCTTCACTTTTCCCCCAGGGAAGGGCAGGAGCCCAGAGTGCCGGCTGCCCCTGGAGGAGGTGGTGGCTAGTGGGGGCACGACCCTCACCCTCGCCTCCCCACACTTCCCCGCCGCTTATGACTACCGCACCAAGTGTGGCTGGATTGTTAAGGTAAGGGATGCTGGTGGGTAAGTGTTGGGGAGGGAGAGGGTTGGGGTAGGTGATAGGGAGGGAGGTGTGTACTCACCTAATTGTGCTTTCGGGGGTTGAGCTCTGGCTCTTTGGTCCCGCCTCTCAACGGTCAATCAACTAATGTACAGGTTCCTGAGCCTATTGGGCTCTATCATATCTACACTTGAAATTGTGTATGGAGTCAGCCTCCACCACATCACTTCCTAATGCATTCCATACTCTGACACTGAAAAAATTCTTTCTAACGTCTCTATGGCTCATTTGGGCATTTAATTTCCACCTGTGTCCCCTAGTGTGTGTGCCCCTTGTGTTAAATAGCCTGTCTTTATCTACCCTATCAATTCCTCTGAGAATCTTGTATGTGGTGATCATGTCCCCTCTAACTTTTCTGTCTCCTATTGTGTGTGAGTGGTTAATGCCGTGGAGGAAGTGGGATTTATGGGACCTCTTTCCTTATGAGGTGATACCCATGCTATTTGGAAAATGTATTTTTGACATTATATAACATTCTCCCCTCAAGCCTACGAGCCGAAATGTGGCCCTAACGATGACATGTGACACCTTCGACTTGGAGAAAGCTGATAGATCCGGACAGTGCCTCGACTTTCTCAAGGTGCAAGGCACCAAGTAAGTCCATATAGACGCAGTGACAATAATAATATTGATATAAGCCCAATGTAGCTTCTCTATAACTTCTTCAGGAATAGGCTATCAAATATAAGAGGTGAAATATGTAACAAGCAGATAAATAGATGTTTCCCCTTTGCACGAATTTACAATTTTCGAAGTTCTTGTTACCCGATATTCCTTAAATCATGGGCAGCCTTTTGGCAACCAAAATAAACAAACACTTCAAGAATTATGAAATCTTGTAAATCGACTGCTAAGAGCACAATACTATTCAATAAAAATATAGAATCCCCCCACAGTACTACAGATAATATAAAAGTGCAATTATATTTTGCAAGTGACTTGTGTATATATATATATATATATATATATATATATATATATATATAAAATATACATATATATATGTCATATATAATATATTCATTATTTCTCAGATACTGCGGAGGGAACATCCCCTTGGCTATCAGTGCTACCAATGTCACCAGGTTCAAAGTGGTCTTCAAGACAAACCGAATTGGAAACTATGGGGGGTTTCACTGCACAGTCCGGGCTACCAATCCCAACACTGAGCACTGTTGTGAGTAGTGACCAACACTAATAAATAATATTATCCTCTATGTACGAATCAGCTTAAACATTTATGTAACGAATCATGACATTTTGTAAATGATTTGGAGGCTCGTATTCCAGGGGAAATTTAGATTAACGCTATGCGTGCTAGTGGCTTTACAAGAATGTATGAACTCTTGTGTATATAAATAAATAAATAAATAAATAAATCATCGAACATTGCTATCACCCACGTTGCTGCTAACAACTGAGACGAGTAACACAGATGTAAAGTGCCTTGTATAGTGACTGTTGTGAGCCTCTTGTTGAATCACTTGTCCTATAAAAAGATTATCGATGTGTATATGTATTTGTGTAAATGATTGTATATATATATATATATATATATATATATATATATATATATATATATATATATATATATATATATATATATATATATATATATATATATATATATATATATATATATATATATATATATATATATATATACATGTATATATAACATTAACAATTGTGTAACTAGCTTCAAAAGATTGTCACTTGCTCAGTTCCTGAATCCATTATGGACCTCTGTAACCTCCCACCATTCAACGCGACCCAGCGTGTGGTGTTAGTGGGCAGTCGCGATCCACCTCGTCGGCGGAGAGGGCGGAGGAGGGAGAGTTTCCGTGGCAGGCAGCACTGGTGGAGACCAAGGCTCCCACTACTCCCTTCTGCGGGGCCTCCGTCGTCCATGAGAGCTGGGTCCTCACCTCTGCAACCTGCGCTCAAAGGTTAGTGACGTAGCGACTCTTTAACGGTGAAAATGAAATCTTGTCTGATTCGTTTATTGCTCCTTGTTTTTGTAGGTTCATTAATGTGCCGGTTTAGGATGTTCCTCGTTGCCGCATCAATCAGTTTTATCCTTCATATCTCTATCCCTCCTTTTTTTCCCGTGATTGCCCTTCAAGGTGTACTCATCTAGATGTATTCATCATTCTATTGATATACGAATAATGCTTAACATTCTTCTGACATCTTTGTGACTTATTCGCATCTATAGTTTCTATGTTCCTCCCTCGTTCTGCTGTTCTTCGTTCTGAGCATCACTTTATCTCTCTAGTAGTGTGTACTTACCTATCAGTGACTACGGGGAAGTGTGGTTCAGTTCTTTATGCCCCGCCTACTAGCCTTGTTGTACCTGTTGCGTTAAAACTTAACTATTCTAACACCCACTATCTTTGTCAAACCTTTCCATAAAGTTGTGAATGGAGGTGGCTTCCACAACTTCTTCTCTTGGTACATTCCATCACCTAGTGTACTCACCTAGTTGTACTCACCCTAGTTGTGCTTGCGGGGGTTGAACTTCGGCTCTTTGGTCCCGCTTCTCAACAGTCAATCACAGGTGTACAGATTCCTGATCATATCTCCACTTGAAACTGCATGGAGTCTGCCTCCACCATATCACTTCCTAATGCATTCATTGCATTTATTAACTGCTCTGACACTAATCAAATTCTTTCTAATGTCTCTGTGGCTCATTTGGGCACTCAATTTCCACCTGTGCCCCCCTGTGCCCCTTGTGTTAAATCAACTGTCTTTGTCAGTCCTATCAATTCCTTTGAGAATCTTGTATGTGGTGATCATGTGTGTGTGTGTACTCACCTAGTAGCCTATACCCACTGTATTTCCTGTGTATGTGCATGATAGAGAGAGTGCGTGTGTTTTGTGTATACATTTAGGCAATAATGATAATATTTAAGACACTTTTATTGTTGCATACTGACACCCTCTTTACACCTGAAGCTGCTGATCTCGATAAAAATTCTGTCTAACATCTGAGCTACTGTATGCGCTTTAAAGTCTTCAGGTTGTATTCCCTAGACCACATGCTATGTAATTCCCAGGAGCACTGCTGAGTTGAGTTGTACTCACTGGAGCACTGTATGTTCCCTCTAGCACTGCTCCTTTTAGCACTGTTCTTCCTGGGCGCATATTATAATCTTATGTAGAGAAGGTGACGATTGCTGTGCACGTCACTGCTTGTCTGAGTACTCTCGTCCTGTACAGGATCAAGTACAACAAGTATAACTACGCAGTTGTGGCAGGCGGGTACAACCTGGATGGGGCCTCGTCAGGGCAGGTCAGAGTTCCCATCAGGAAGGTCTTCATCCATCCCCGCTACGTCCAAGGTAAGAGAGAGAGAGTGCGCGTGAGATAATTATATAATTTAGCTTGTGGAAATATTTTTATATCAAACGAATTATACTATACATATAAAATGAATTATATGGAATATAAAGCTAAGATAGAAGTCGCATCGGAGGCTACACACGACCTTCTCTTCGCGGGATGGCAGGCGTGTCTGGCTTTGAGAACGACGTGGCGCTGGTGCAGCTGAAGGAAGCTCTCACCTTCAGCAGTGGCGGGCCCCTGCCAGTCTGCCTCCCACGCTCCCACGATCACCACACCACCCCCACCGCCATCTTCACCGGCTGGGGTGTAGGTAGGCTTTTTACGTTTGAAAATAGGTACGTAAACATTTATGGAACTACATTCACTTATTGGGTAGTCATCAAGTTCAAGTATGTTTATTGAGATAAGAAAATACATCTCAATGGGATAGAGTAAGTCAGGCTATTTCTATCCAGAGTAGCTTAGGCTATTTCTATCCCCCCTTTGGTTAGACATTGTCTTTGGAGTAACAAAAGTCATTACCTGAATTAAAATTCGAGAACAATATGAATACAAAAGTTATACACATCGAGAATCAATGTCAAACATTCTAATGCCATATACTGCAAAAGTGTTTGTCTAGTGACGTAGGCAGACAGGAATATTCCATTTTGTTCACTTGGCCAGGTCCCAGGAGGGACAATTGCTGCTCTGAGGCTATATATTGTATATATTGGGTACTGAGAGTGAAGGTAGGATGTTGTTGCAGAGAAGGGTAGGTCAGCTGTGGTGAGGAAGGTGGTGGTGAGGATGTTGGCTGCTCCAGATTGTGCTCATCATTACCAGGACATCACCCCGGCCTCCCTCTGCGCCCTCCCAGCTAACGCCACCAGCCGCAACTTGTGTGAGGTGAGGCGCGACCATTGGTATATCTGTGTGGGATCACGAAGGCTCCTCTTTTTTGGCACTGATCAGGTTCTTTCTTACGGGCTACTCATGCCCGTGCTACCTCTTTGGTGGCTTAATCTTCACCAATCAATTAAGGCTCTTCGGGTTTTTTGAGGTCCACCTAGTCAAAGGCGAGCTGTCGCCCAACTGGCTAGACCTAACGGTGAAATCCTGCTGAAGCTTAGACTTTGACATTAGCCACTGCGCAAATCCCATGGCTGCATATACTGGGTGAACGGTATAGTTTCTTGAGTGATTATTGTAGTTGAATATGTTGGCATTTTAGTCTTGTTGACTGGCCAGGTGAGTGAACCTACGAGGTGAGTGAACCTTTCCTGCCCGAAACGCTTTGCGTAATAGTGGCTTTAGGCATTGTATGTACTAGCTCTATCTATAAAGCCAACAAACTTTGTAAAATCTCTTTATGTATGTACCTTTGCCTAAATAAAAATTATTATTATTATTATTATTATAATGCAGTATCTGAAACATATCTGACCAGGTTATCCTGAGCAAGTGTGTGTTATGACCAAGAAGCCTAGCTATGTCCACCTTCCACTCTTACTGCATTACGCTATCCCTATCATTCCTAAACTAATTTCTTCGTATAGCAAGTTCTTCCACATTCCAGAATGACATAAACCACGTAAGCCTACATTTCTGTCGATAAAGGTTGATACTACCTCTCCAGGCAGATTTGGGCGGCCCTCTGGTGGTGGAGGGAAGAAGCGAGAAGGGGGTGAAGGGTCAGTATGTGCAGGTCGGGGTGGCAGTCTACACCGACGGCTGTGAGGAGCACGTTGATGATGGGCGCCTTCCTGGAGTCTACACCGACCTCACCCGTGAGACACGTTTGGTATTCATATTCTTCTATCTTTCTCTCTCTCTGTAAATTAAGATTGGGGTTCATTAGTGATCGTACTAATGTTCGTAAGGAAACTACAGGCTAAGTGCTGTTATCTCACATCCGCTCTCTCTTGGTTACTTATGATTTTGATCCAACCCGTCCTCGACTCACGTCCATTACAACCAGCGGTCGACCCCACAGACGCATTCATAAATTTTAACATGCTGTTCATTTAAAACAGGAATTTTCTCAAATATAAATTAATATTATGATATATTAGCATATTGTGCATATATATAGGCATAGGTTAGGTGGTTGGGTTCTGTTGGCGATTATTTGTATTTGTAGTACGTGGGTGAAGCATTTAAAGCGTTGTGGTTCGAACAAAATTCGTCAGTGAAGCATTTGTTCCGGAAGTGTTCGAACGAAATGAGTTGTGAGTCGTGTGTAAACCGTTTTTCATTCATAAACAGGGGGTTTGGCGGGTGCATGGAATCACTTTTGGATCTTTGTTTGGAGGACGGGCTGTTTGATCACAACTAAAACTAGTCCGTCCTCATAAACAAAGGCCAAAGTTTATTCCATCCACCCGCCAAACCCGCTGTTTATGAATGAAAAACAAACGGTTTACTCACAACTCACAACTGATGACGTTCGAACATTTCCGGAACAAGTACTTCACTGACGAATTTTGTTCGAACCACAACGCTGTAAATGCTTCACCCACGTACTACAAAATACAAATAATCCCAAACAGAATCTAAACATCTAACCTAACCTATGCCTATATATGCATAATATGTTAATATATAACAATATTAATTTTTTTTTTTTTAGAAAATTACTATTTTGAATGAACAGCATGTTGAAATTTATGAATGCGACTTTGGGGTCGATCGCTGGATGGAATGGACTTAGTCTGAGGACGGGTTGACTAAAATAGTCAACAAAGACGACAGGTACCTGTTTATTTATTTTTCCAACATAAAATGTCTAATTATCTAATCATTAAAATGTAAAAATTTACGAGACCATCACAGTTTTTTTAATTTATATATAAAAAATATGTTCAGAACAGAATTATTTATGCATTATATTCTGCAGACGAAACATCACATTTGTCATAGTTAATATAACTTTTTGCGAAACATTGTATATCTGATATCAGATATCAGACTTACATATGATATCAGACATCATACCTACATCTGATATCAGACATCAAACTTACATCTGATATCAGACATCAAACTTACATCTGACATCCGACACTGTAAAACCAAATGATTATATTCTTCCTCTCAAGAAAGTTCATGTTGCTTCAACTGAATATCCCCTTCTTGTTGCTATCCAGTTTTTACCACATAAGTCTCTGCATAGTTTCTTTAAACCATTTTATCCCATGTCAACATTGTTAGATATGTAGTGATCTTTCTATACCTATGGGGCATACGATTTTGGGTAAGACTTGTATAATAACTATTGTAGCTTTACGTAAATCTAAATATGATATATAATGCCAATGATGTCATTTTACAGCTTACCTTCGCTGGATTAACGAAACTGTGGGTCCAGACGACACTTGCCACTAGAGGATCCGTCAATTGGCCCCGTCCTGGACCTGTCTAGGCCCCGTCCTGGACCTGTCTAGGCCCCGTCCTGGACCTGTCTAGGCCCCGTCCTGGACCTGTCTAGGCCCCGTCCTGGACCTGTCTAGGCCCCGTCCTGGACCAGACTAGACTCCGTCCTGAACCCATCTAGTCTACGACCTTGATATTGCCAGAGGTTCCGCTCCACTATCACAGGTTAAAAATTGGCCCCCGCTCCACCACAGGATTCACAAAAGGAATATATTTAAGTAATAAAAAGAATGTCAGTAGGTATAAATTATACTAATTACAGAGAACAAGATGGATGACCTCAGACCACTGGCATGTGTTGAAAATTTAGACATAATAGCACTCGCAGAAACATTGTTGAATATCGACTCTAAGGACCTACTCATCTAATACCAGATTAAAGGACATAAGCTCTTTCAGGTTAACCGAACATATAGAAAATAGGGTTGAGTTGCTCTATATATATGGAGATCAACTCAAAGGCTCATTCAGAAACCATATGAATAATATTGAAAGAGGGAAATAAAAAACTACAAGTAGGAGTATTAGTTGTCAAGCCTAGCCCCAGGCTGGGCTCTGGGAGTAGAACTCTAGGAACCCTCTAGGTATGGTCCTGGTATACATCAGTAAAACCAATTTAAGTAAACCAATTTAGGAAAAGATAAACAAAAGATATCAAACTGCAGTTATGTGTGTAACACTGGAGACTTTGGGTCGGAGTAATCAATTAAACATTAAAAATATGTAAATCAGAGGAAGAAGAATTCATGGATTAGAAATGATGGAAGATGGCTTCCTGACAGTTTGTTACTTAGCCTATTAGAAACAAAAATGTTCTGGGTTTGTTCCTGACAGCCACAATAATTAAGAATATGGAAATAGTCTTCCCTCACAGCTTTTATGTGTGTAATATGTGTGTCTCAATTCTAAGTACTACATAAGAAACAACTAAAATAAAGCCTGAATGGAATATAAGATAAAGAAAATGGTCTTGAGTATAATCACATCCTAATAAAGGAAGGTACTTAAACCGTAGGTTACATCTATCTTTAAAATAGAATATCTATATGTGTGTATGTTCAACGCTGGAGGAGAGATATTTGGGGGTTAACCTCACCCAACTTTGCAGGGTGACTGGTGGGTGTAATGAGATGATTGCAGTGGTGTGGGTTTCCATGTTGACCAGACCACACACTAGAAGGTAAAGGGACGACGACGTTTCGGTCCGTCCTGGACCATTCTCAAGTTGATCAAGTCACAATCGACTTGAGAATGGTCCAGGACGGAGCGAAACGTCGTCGTCCCTTCACCTTCTAGTGTGTGGTCTGGTCAACATTCTTCAGCCACGTTATTGTGACTCATTGCCTGCATGTGGGTTTCCATCCCCTTCCTTGAAGTGGTGTTGGCGTTTACAGTCTCCGTGGTGTAGTGGTAAGACACTCGCCTGGCGTTCCGCGAGCGCTATGTCATGGGTTCGTATCCTGGCCGGAGAGGATTTACTGGGCGCAATTCCTTAACTGTAGCCTCTGTTTAACGCAACAGTAAAATGTGTACTTGGATGAAAAAACGATTCTTCGCGGCGGGAATCGTATTCCAGGGACCTGCCTGAAACGCTACGCGTACTAGTGGCTGTACAAGAATGTAACAACTCTTGTATATATCTCAAAAAAAAAAAAAAAAAAAAAAAAAAAAGTTGTATAAATTGTGCATTAATTATTCACCGGCTCTCAACACTTAAATGGCATAATCTTTTGGGGTCGACCCGGGCATTTGGCATTTATAAATCTGAGTAACATTTAATAAAGGTTTCCTTAGAGATTTTTTACCTTCATATATTTACCAAAAATTAAAAAGAAAAACATTGTTCTTAGAGATAATTTGTTTATTGATGTGAATATATATTTTGTGGTCCTTGTTCTAAATTAACATTGAAAAGTAGTAGCCTATCAAAGACAAAAATGTTCTGGGTTTGTTCCTGACAAAGACACAATAATTAACAGTATGGAAATAGTCTTCCCCTCACAGCTCTTAGGTGTGTGTACATATATGTAATATATATACATATATTTGTGTGTGTCAACTCTATTTGAAATAAGGACTATAAAACATATATATACATCAATAAACAAATTATCTCTAAGAACAACTTTTTATTTTCAATTTTTATTTAGAATGGACATCTTAAAAGAGGTAATTCAGTATGTTGACTTATAGGGCTATACATACATAACAATGTATTAATTATTACAATGTTCATTGTTATGTAAAACTATTCTGCTTATACATGTATAAATTATATGAAATTCATTTAACTTTATTGACACAATTTTTTTTTTTTTTACCAAATTTAACATTGCATCATCTGACTCACGCCACAGGAATATATTGTAATTTCAAAAGGTGATCAATACACTTTGTCATCTATTTATAATTTCTAAATGTGAATAGGAGTAAACTGGTTCTATTAGTTTTTCTCGGATCCGTGCAATGTTTGGAGAAATGTTTACGAGGTATTTTGTTCTAACGTCTGGAGTCAGCCCGTCCTCCCAGGGAGATAGGTAGGTATATCTACCTATATTGTCAAGTTATCTCTCACCCAGTTGGGCTTTTACGTCATGTCAGCGGCGATATGGGGAATTTTACGTCAAACCGGCGGGGATAGGGATACATTTTGAGTTTGGTTAGAATTAGTTTGAACCGAATTAGAAGCGACACACTTCTGAACGAGTTGTACTCTGAACCAGGGAATCTCCCACTGTGAGGTGGCGCAGGATGATATAGCCTATAGCATGATGTTATGATTCTCAGTCAAGATATAATACCTCCATCTCCTGATGTGAGAGTTATTCCTCCTTCTCGGATACTCTAGACTGGCACTGGTTACAAGGTAAACCGATCATATTAAGAAGGAAATAGCAAGTTTGAGGCATTTATGGTGCTGGACAAAATACTGAGTTTGGGCAAATATGTTTCATCTGCCCGAAACGCTATGCGTGCTAGTGGCTTTACAAGAATGTCAAATTTCAAATCTCTGTACTCTCATAAACCCAATGTACCTTCTTGTATATAAATAAATAAAGGGAAGGCGCTTGAAATTGAAATTGAAATAAGTTTATTGAGGTAAAATACACACAAAGGGATGAGGTAGCTCAAGCTATTCTCACCCCATTCAGTACAACGTGTTAATATATACATAGACACACATCACAAATAAACATATTGACAGGCGCTTTGATCAAGAGGAAAGATGGATGACGTTACCATTAGCCAATAGGAGGAGGCAGGGGTCGTGACGTGGAAAGAGGTGAAGGTCGTTGATTGGCTGGAACCTCACGTGTTTATGTGAGAAGTTAGACAGTGGCGATGCATGTTGCTGCCTCTTAGTTTTAGGTGGGAATTTTACTTGCAACGGCCTGGAAGACGCCCGTGACTAGTGACACAAAGAAGAGGCAGCAGCTGATGCGTCTACCAATCTTGAATGCCCTGGAGCAGCGTACGGGCAGTGCGTTTGGAGCCAAGCCGACGGTCGCGCCTCGAGAAACTTACAAGATGTTCCCGTCCAGTGAATGACAACGACGTTCTTACATGTGCCAGGGATGAACGCCCCCACACACAAGTCAAGGGAGAGAAAGACGGAGGCGACCAAGGGTTTAAGGATATCCCTGGGGAGAGAGGGAAGAAGAAGAAGAGATCTTCAGCGCCATTGTTGGCCTAGCAGACGACGACGCCCCTACAGGAGGTAAGACATTTTCACTTACTGTGGCTTAATTTACCAGAATATTGGACGCTGGAGTATCATGACGTGTCTCGTCATTAGGCACGTCTCTGCCGTTGGGCACGTTTCCTTTCACATGATATACCTGTTCCCGTAGCATTAAATATAAGCGCCCTGGAGTTGGACAGATGTTTTACGGGCTATTCATGCCCGTGCCACCTCTTGGGTGGCTTAATCTGTATCAATCAATCAATCGGACAGATGTTGTGGTAAGTTGGGGAAGGTAAGTTGGCCATGGGGGTCTAGACAGGACTTAATTACAAGCTTAATTCTTAACAACGTGAAGCCTTACCAAAGTCTCTGGGATTAAAGGTACAGTTCACTTCGTTTGGGACTTGAACCAAGGAACAGAAATAATGTCTGTTACAAGTGACTCCATTACCGTTTCCCATGCTGCTCTTACACTAACGTTACCTTGTGTTGAAATAATAATTAAACAAATACATCACATTATTCTTATTCTGCGTCTTCAACAAATACATAAGGGGTATTCTTGTTTTGCGTTCTTGTTTTGCGTTTGTAAGTATCTCTTGTACTTTGCGAATATGCCCAGGTATGTCATCAATTATAATATATAGTTATACAGTATCAGTGACCTCGCATGGCATTAGCAATGACGTCAATTTGATGTCGTCTGCCGGTGTAGGTAGACCCGGTAGGCACAATATCCAAGAGTAACTTAAATGCAGCGCTGAATCAACGTTAATTCCATGTTGACAACGTTAATTCCATGTTGACAACGTTAATTCCATGTTGACAACGTTAATTCCATGTTGACAACGTTAATTCCTTGTTGACAACGTTAATTCCTTGTTGACAACGTTAATTCCTTGTTGACAACGTTAATTCCACGTTGACAACGTTAATTCCATGGACCATTCAGGGGACGTAGAATGTGGCATGATCTTCCCAACCATGTTAATGACTACCTCTCTCAACCAGTTAAAGATGAAAACGAAGCACTACCTAATAAATTCCCTGTAACCTACCTTACTCCTCTATTGTCAACCCGTCTTTTTTTTTTTTTTTTTTTTTTTTTTTTTTTTTTTTTTTTTTTTTTTTTTTTTTTTTTTTTTAAACAACGCTGTTTGTCGACCTAATTGTATTTGTGCTGCTTTTTCAGCCATGTTCCCCCCTTTTTTATCTCTATTTTTATTTGTTCTCAACACATTTTATTCTTTATACTCAATTAGTATTAAGCTTTAGTCATTTAAGTTTTTCATGCCCGAAACGCTTTGCGTAATAGTGGCTTTAGGCATTGTATGTACTAGCCCTATTTATAAATCCATCATTCTTTGTAAAATCTCTTGTATGTATGTACCTTACCTAAATAAACATTTATTTATTTATTTATTTATTTTATGTTGACAACGTTAATTCCACGCTGACAACGTGGAATCAACGTTATCACCCACTCGGCTTGGTGATAAAGCTAGAGTATTAACATTGGACATTAATTAATCACGACAGTACTGTGCTAGCACAGAATATTAACAATACACTATTAACATTGAATATTAATAATATTATTTGGGATTAAGGAAGAATACCATAACTCAGAATCTAGGAGAAATTGAATATTTTAATTAGCAAATGTTAACTTATGGGATATTATAAATAACATATTTAAATTATATAAATATATAAACATTTTGATTTTCCTAAAATAGTATCGGCTATTAAACTTTTCTCTAAAGTGTATTTATAAATAGGCAAGTCAGCTAACAGTGTTTTCTTAAATAAATATTTCAATTGAATTATAACAAGCTCCACTTAGATTTTACCATATAACATGTTGAGCTAACTTATTGAATTGACTTTGTGATGGAGGGGGAATATTGTAGGGCATGCTAGATATTATTTTTTTATTAATTGAATAATTAATAAAAATTACAGTAAATGGTACTGTATTTATGACTATGGCTCAGAATGGACTAACTTTTCCTTGTGATGGAGGGAGGATATTGTAGGGGATGCTAGATCTTATTTGTTTTATTAATATTTAGCTCAGAAGACTAACTTTTCTTAAGTCAGGGACGGTCGGGATAAGAGACTTGAGGTCCTTGACCTGACAACAGAAGGTCAAGCCCCGGCTGATATCGCTCGTGTCCCAGTCGACCCAGCTGACCTCGTTACACACGTCACGACACGGTGGTTCAGACAGGGTCATTCTTCTGGCTGAGGCTTCTCCCGTGACGTCGTTGACTTCAACTATGCCGACGGCTCGACGTGATTTGACGTCGTGAATTACCTGGAGGAAGGAGGAGAGGGGCGTGAGAGTTTGGGAGAAACACCTTCTGGAGTAGGGAAGGAGGAACTTCAGTATTGGAAACGTATTAACTCTAGAATAACGAGAGTAAGTGCTGGTATCCAGGGGGCCAGATTCATGAAGCAGTTAAGCAAGCACTTACGAGCCTGTACATCTTTTCTCAATCTTTGGCGGCTTTGTTTACGATTATTAAACAGTTAATGAGCTCCGAAGCACCAGGAGGCTGTTTATAACAATAACAACAGTTGATTGGCAAGTTTGTAAACTGTTTAATAAATGTAACCAAAGCCGTCAAAGATTGGAGAAAGATGTACACATTCGTAAGTACTTGCGTAACTGCTTGGTGAATCCGTCCCCAGGCAGATACTAATCCCCACGCGGTCCTTACCTTCCACATGAGTGCTGGTACTGGCACCAGTTTCTTGCCGGCCGCTAGACCAAGGAAAAGATCAACGGGGTTATTGTTGACGTCTGGCAGCTGGAGAGTGCCATGTGTGCCAGTAAACACTTCTAACGTCGTCTTTTGCTCCTTGGCCAAATCCCGGATGGCGGATTCCAGACGCTGAGAGGAACAGGAAAGAGCTGACGAAAAGTTTTTCCAATGCAACATTTATCGGGCTCACATATATATATATATATATATATATATATATATATATATATATATATATATATATATATATATATATATATATATATATATATATATATACAACTGAAAACTCCATAAGCTGTTTATATTTTTAACGAGTTTTTTAACTATAAAGAAGACTTTATAAGCTGTTGGGACCTATTCAAGCTTGTTCGCAGTGTATGTCTATCTCAAGTATCGCATTTAATAATTTATTATATGCATACAGAAGAGATTGTGAATATTTCTGCACCACTAATACATCTCGCATCATTAATGCTCTATGTTTCTAAATACAAATTGCTAAATCGAGTCAGTTTGAGTAACTACGGAAACCTGGGCTGCCCTGCATGTATTGTAAGCTAGAATGCATTCAGGTATGTTCAGTGTGAGAGATCTGCAAGCGAAAACTGCGCCCTGAACAGCCTAGCTTTCCTGCGCTAGGCTTGGAGGGGATCTCTCCTGCTAGGATTTATCAGATATTTATGTGTCAATTTACGAAACCTGGAAATCTTTCCTCGTTCGTGGCGGCTTAGTAATTATTAAACAATTTACGAGCTTTGAAACTTCGAAACCTAAGATTATTGTTATAGACAAACTCGTAGTACTTTAGAGTTTATAAGCTGAAAATAAAAGTAAACAAAGCCACTATGACTGCGGAAAAAAGAACAGGTTTCACAAGTGGTCACGTTAATACTTGAAGAATCTCAATTCTGATAAGTAATTCAAGAAATACGCATGTACACAGAGACAGGTCATAAAATGCGCCGTTATTGCGTCTCTGAGGAAATGCCTTACCCCCTGGCTCACCCATACACTCAGTTATGACAGGGAACGTATTCCCACTTGTCGACATGGTTTGACATTCCGTGCTCCGCTGTGCATCGACAAACTATGGTTTATTGCACTCATTAAAAAAGTATGCCACATTAGGTGTTGCAATTTATTTTACACGAACCATCGTAAAAGACATCATTCCTAGGACTGTATATCCTAAATATACAGTAAATATGTCTTTAAAGTTCCCTAAAATGCATGATATAAATGTTGAAGTTTCCTAAAATGTCTCATATCTATCCTGAAGTTCAGATTGTCTGCAATATGAATGTTATCCACTGGAAATAATGTTAACCCAGGTACTTTAAGTGGTAATACCCTCTCAAGTTCAAGTTCAAGTATGTTTATTGAGACAAGAAAGAAATACATCTCAAAGGGATAGAGTAGCGTAGGCTATTTTTTCCCCCCAAATACCCTCTCTGGGTCTCCCTTCACACCTCGCATCACAACCTGACCTAAAACACACTATATATATATACACTTGGGACTTAACCACATAACATTACCTCTATAAGGAGTCCCACCACTCATTGGAGCGTGTATATTTTAATCCCGTGCCCGGGGTAGGTGGTTTCAGGCTCCTAGTGCCCTGGTGAATGATATTTTATTATCCACGTTTACTGTGGTTGACAATTTATATGACTTGGGCGTGGATCACCTAATTCTTCCTAGTGGCATCCCAGGGCAGGATTAGTTTCAGTTGGACAGCAGGTAGTGCCTCTGAAATCCTTATTGTGGTTGGCTCGGTAGCTTGGCACATAGAGCGACCGGTTCCCATGCCCGGGATTGGTGGTTCGAAGCTCCTAGTGCCTAGTTGAATTAAATATATTTAAAATTTTGTTCTAGTTGCCATACCTTCCAGTTGCCATTATTGAAGGCCTGCCACTGAGGAACGACGTTGGCGTGGTAGTAGGTGGCGTCTTGCTCGGCGGCGTAGACGAAGTCTGCGTCAGGAGCCAGGTGACCCTTGGCCAAGAACTGCTGGCCCTCCACGGTCAGGTGGGCCCGGGACCTCAGCGCCTTCTCAGCCAGCAGTCGCTGGTTGGTCTTGCTATACAGCTCCTCTACGTTCGCAGTAAACATGTCTGCGTGCTTGAATGGCGGCCGCCCAGGGTCTTGGGTCTTGGCCGTCAGGTGGCTGGTCAGGGATTGAAAAAAAGGAGCGCGATATGTGAGACTTGGTGAAAAGCAGACAATTAAATACTATATTTAAACCTTAGAATGTTGTGTATTTTTGAGTGCATACTTAATACATACCATAGACACCATGGGTGTATGTATGTATCTCCCTGGGGGGTGGGAGATGATATTGTGGGTGAAGAAGGGTAAACGCTTAAGAGGAAGTAGTCACAGTGCTTCACCCAGCTGCAGGGAATAGTCACAGTGCCAAGGCCTCACCCAATTGCAAGGTGTGGCCACAGTGGGTTGACCCAGCTGTAGGGTATGGCCTCAGTGGCAGAGCTTGACCCAGCTGTAGGGTGTGGGCACAGTGGCAGAGCTTGACCCAGCTGTAGGGTATGGCCACAGTGGCAGAGCTTGACCCAGCTGTAGGGTGTGGCCTCAGTGGGTTGACCCAGCTGTAGGGTATGGCCACAGTGGGTTGACCCAGCTGTAGGGTATGGCCACAGTGGCAGAGCTTGACCCAGCTGTAGGGTGTGGGCACAGTGGCAGAGCTTGACCCAGCTGTAGGGTGTGGGCACAGTGGCAGAGCTTGACCCAGCTGTAGGGTGTGGGCACAGTGGCAGAGCTTGACCCAGCTGTAGGGTGTGGGCACAGTGGCAGAGCTTGACCCAGCTGTAGGGTGTGGCCACAGTGGCAGAGCTTGACCCAGCTGTAGGGTGTGGCCACAGTGGCAGAGCTTGACCCAGCTGTAGGGTGTGGGCACAGTGGCAGAGCTTGACCCAGCTGTAGGGTGTGGGCACAGTGGCAGAGCTTGACCCAGCTGTAGGGTGTGGGCACAGTGGCAGAGCTTGACCCAGCTGTAGGGTGTGGGCACAGTGGCAGAGCTTGACCCAGCTGTAGGGTGTGGGCACAGTGGCAGACCCAGCTGTAGGGTGTGGCCACAGTGCCAGATACTGACCCAGCTGTAGGGTGTGGCCACAGTGCCAGATACTGACCCAGCTGTAGGGTGTGGCCACAGTGGCAGAGCTTGACCCAGCTGTAGGGTGTGGCCACAGTGTCAGAGCTTGACCCAGCTGCAGGGTATGGCCACAGTGCCAGAGCTTGACCCAGCTGTAGGGTATGGCCACAGTGCCAGATGCCCGAGTGTGGCCACAGTGTCAGAGCTTGACCCAGCTGCAGGGTATGGCCACAGTGGCAGAGCTTGACCCAGCTGTAGGGTGTGGCCACAGTGGGTTGACCCGGGTGTGGCCACAGTGTCAGAGCTTGACCCAGCTGCAGGGTGTGGCCACAGTGTCAGAGCTTGACCCAGCTGTAGGGTGTGGCCACAGTGGCAGAGCTTGACCCAGCTGTAGGGTATGGCCACAGTGCCAGATACTGACCCAGCTGTAGGGTATGGCCACAGTGCCAGATACTGACCCAGCTGTAGGGTGTGGCCACAGTGCCAGATCTTGACCCAGTTGTAGGGTGTGGCCACAGTGCCAGAGCTTGACCCAGCTGTAGGGTGTGGCCTCAGTACCAGATACTGACCCAGCTGTAGGGTGTGGCCACAGTACCAGATACTGACCCAGCTGTAGGGTGTGGCCACAGTACCAGATACTGACCCAGCTGTAGGGTGTGGCCACAGTACCAGATACTGACCCAGCTGTAGGGTGTGGCCAAAGTGCCAGATATTGACCCAGTTGTAGGGTGTGGCCACAGTGCCAGAGCTTGACCCAGCTGTAGGGTGTGGCCTCAGTACCAGATACTGACCCAGCTGTAGGGTGTGGCCACAGTACCAGATACTGACCCAGCTGTAGGGTATGGCCACAGTGCCAGATCTTGACCCAGCTGTAGGGTGTGGCCACAGTGCCAGATACTGACCCAGCTGTAGGGTGTGGCCACAGTGCCAGATACTGACCCAGCTGTAGGGTGTGGCCACAGTGCCAGAGCTTGACCCAGCTGTAGGGTGTGGCCACAGTACCAGATACTGACCCAGCTGTAGGGTGTGGCCACAGTGCCAGATACTGACCCAGCTGTAGGGTGTGGCCACAGTGCCAGATACTGACCCAGCTGTAGGGTGTGGCCACAGTGCCAGATACTGACCCAGCTGTAGGGTGTGGCCAGTACCAGTGACCCCAGCCACAGTGCCATACTGACCCAGCTGTAGGGTGTGGCCACAGTACCAGATACTGACCCAGCTGTAGGGTGTGGCCACAGTACCAGATACTGACCCAGCTGTAGGGTGTGGCCACAGTACCAGATACTGACCCAGCTGTAGGGTGTGGCCACAGTGCCAGAGCTTGACCCAGCTGTAGGGTGTGGCCACAGTGCCAGATATTGACCCAGCTGTAGGGTGTGGCCACAGTGCCAGATATTGACCCAGCTGTAGGGTGTGGCCACAGTGCCAGATATTGACCCAGCTGTAGGGTGTGGCCACAGTGCCAGATATTGACCCAGCTGTAGGGTGTGGCCACAGTACCAGATACTGACCCAGCTGTAGGGTGTGGCCACAGTACCAGAGCTTGACCCAGCTGTAGGGTGTGGCCACAGTACCAGATACTGACCCAGCTGTAGGGTGTGGCCACAGTGCCAGATACTGACCCAGCTGTAGGGTGTGGCCACAGTGCCAGATACTGACCCAGCTGTAGGGTGTGGCCACAGTGCCAGAGCTTGACCCAGCTGTAGGGTGTGGCCACAGTGCCAGATATTGACCCAGCTGTAGGGTGTGGCCACAGTGCCAGATATTGACCCAGCTGTAGGGTGTGGCCACAGTGCCAGATACTGACCCAGCTGTAGGGTGTGGCCACAGTACCAGATACTGACCCAGCTGTAGGGTGTGGCCACAGGGCCAGATACTGACCCAGCTGTAGGGTGTGGCCACAGTACCAGATACTGACCCAGCTGTAGGGTGTGGCCACAGTGCCAGAGCTTGACCCAGCTGTAGGGTGTGGCCACAGGGCCAGATACTGACCCAGCTGTAGGGTGTGGCCACAGTGCCAGATATTGACCCAGCTGTAGGGTGTGGCCACAGTGCCAGATATTGACCCAGCTGTAGGGTGTGGCCACAGGGCCAGATACTGACCCAGCTGTAGGGTGTGGCCACAGTGCCAGAGCTTGACCCAGCTGTAGGGTGTGGCCACAGGGCCAGATACTGACCCAGCTGTAGGGTGTGGCCACAGTACCAGATACTGACCCAGCTGTAGGGTGTGGCCACAGGGCCAGATACTGACCCAGCTGTAGGGTGTGGCCACAGTACCAGATACTGACCCAGCTGTAGGGTGTGGCCACAGTGCCAGAGCTTGACCCAGCTGTAGGGTGTGGCCACAGGGCCAGATACTGACCCAGCTGTAGGGTGTGGCCACAGGGCCAGATACTGACCCAGCTGTAGGGTGTGGCCACAGTGCCAGATATTGACTCAGCTGTAGGGTGTGGCCACAGGGCCAGATACTGACCCAGCTGTAGGGTGTGGCCACAGTGCCAGATATTGACCCAGCTGTAGGGTGTGGCCACAGTGCCAGATATTGACCCAGCTGTAGGGTGTGGCCACAGTGCCAGATACTGACCCAGCTGTAAGGTGTGGCCACAGTGCCAGATACTGACCCAGCTGTAGGGTGTGGCCACAGTACCAGATACTGACCCAGCTGTAGGGTGTGGCCACAGGGCCAGATACTGACCCAGCTGCAGATATTATTACATAATAACAAAGGAAAAGAGGACAGCGAGCACCCACCTGCCGTACACACTATGGCGAGTAAACTCCGTAGCCTCAAGAGTAGGGTTGAAACATATGAGGATCTGCTGGAGGAAGAGATCGGGCTTGAGGCTCCAGCCCACACTGTAGCCCACACCAGCCTTCCCACACTTGGTCCTCAGGGGCTGCACCGTCGGCCGAGGCATGCGCAAGCAGCCCATCTTATTCCAGGTCACCTTCTGCCACAACATTATAAGGTATTCAGGAGACTGCTGCTATGTGTAATTTTGTTGCATTTGTGGTAGTCACTGTGTACTTACATATATATAATAATCGAATAATAATCATTAGTTTCCATAAGGGAACAGGCAGCTTGTACTGTAATATATATATATATATATATATATATATATATATATATATATATATATATATATATATATATATATATAGTATATATATATATATATATATATATATATATATATATATATATATATATATATATATATATATATATATATATATATATATATATATATATATATATATATTACTATATAATATATAGTAATATATATATATATATATATATATATATATATAATATATATATATATATATAACTGAAAACTCACACCCCAGAAGTGACTCGAACCCATACTCCCAGAAGCCACGCAACTGGTATGTACAAGACGCCTTAATCCACTTGACCATCACGACCGGACAAAATGAGGTGATAGCCGAGGCTATATGAACCACCCCACCGCCGGCACTCGGATAGTTATCTTGGGCATAGCATTTTACCAAATCACCTCATTCTTTGGGGCACACGTGAGGAACACAAATGCGAACAAGCCTGAATGGTCCCCAGGACATATGCAACTGAAAACTCATACCCCAGAAGTGACTCGAACCCATACTCCCAGAAGCCACGCAACTGGTATGTACAAGACGCCTTAATCCACTTGACCATCACGACCGGACAAAATGAGGTGATAGCCGAGGCTATATGAACCACCCCACCGCCGGCACTCGGATAGTTATCTTGGGCATAGCATTTTACCAAATCACCTCATTCTTTGGGGCACACGTGAGGAACACAAATGCGAACAAGCCTGAATGGTCCCCAGGACATATGCAACTGAAAACTCACACCCCAGAAGTGACTCGAACCCATACTCCCAGAAGCCACGCAACTGGTATGTACAAGACGCCTTAATCCACTTGACCATCACGACCGGACAAAATGAGGTGATAGCCGAGGCTATATGAACCACCCCACCGCCGGCACTCGGATAGTTATCTTGGGCATAGCATTTTACCAAATCACCTCATTCTTTGGGGCACACGTGAGGAACACAAATGCGAACAAGCCTGAATGGTCCCCAGGACATATGCAACTGAAAACTCACACCCCAGAAGTGACTCGAACCCATACTCCCAGAAGCCACGCAACTGGTATGTACAAGACGCCTTAATCCACTTGACCATCACGACCGGACAAAATGAGGTGATAGCCGAGGCTATATGAACCACCCCACCGCCGGCACTCGGATAGTTATCTTGGGCATAGCATTTTACCAAATCACCTCATTCTTTGGGGCACACGTGAGGAACACAAATGCGAACAAGCCTGAATGGTCCCCAGGACATATGCAACTGAAAACTCACACCCCAGAAGTGACTCGAACCCATACTCCCAGAAGCCACGCAACTGGTATGTACAAGACGCCTTAATCCACTTGACCATCACGACCGGACAAAATGAGGTGATAGCCGAGGCTATATGAACCACCCCACCGCCGGCACTCGGATAGTTATCTTGGGCATAGCATTTTACCAAATCACCTCATTCTTTGGGGCACACGTGAGGAACACAAATGCGAACAAGCCTGAATGGTCCCCAGGACATATGCAACTGAAAACTCACACCCCAGAAGTGACTCGAACCCATACTCCCAGAAGCCACGCAACTGGTATGTACAAGACGCCTTAATCCACTTGACCATCACGACCGGACAAAATGAGGTGATAGCCGAGGCTATATGAACCACCCCACCGCCGGCACTCGGATAGTTATCTTGGGCATAGCATTTTACCAAATCACCTCATTCTTTGGGGCACACGTGAGGAACACAAATGCGAACAAGCCTGAATGGTCCCCAGGACATATGCAACTGAAAACTCACACCCCAGAAGTGACTCGAACCCATACTCCCAGAAGCCACGCAACTGGTATGTACAAGACGCCTTAATCCACTTGACCATCACGACCGGACAAAATGAGGTGATAGCCGAGGCTATATGAACCACCCCACCGCCGGCACTCGGATAGTTATCTTGGGCATAGCATTTTACCAAATCACCTCATTCTTTGGGGCACACGTGAGGAACACAAATGCGAACAAGCCTGAATGGTCCCCAGGACATATGCAACTGAAAACTCACACCCCAGAAGTGACTCGAACCCATACTCCCAGAAGCCACGCAACTGGTATGTACAAGACGCCTTAATCCACTTGACCATCACGACCGGACAAAATGAGGTGATAGCCGAGGCTATATGAACCACCCCACCGCCGGCACTCGGATAGTTATCTTGGGCATAGCATTTTACCAAATCACCTCATTCTTTGGGGCACACGTGAGGAACACAAATGCGAACAAGCCTGAATGGTCCCCAGGACATATGCAACTGAAAACTCACACCCCAGAAGTGTATCGAACCCAAACTGTTCCTCACGTGTGCCCCAAAGAATGAGGTGATTTGGTAAAATGCTATGCCCAAGATAACTATACGAGTGCCGGCGGTGGGGTGGTTCATATAGCCTCGGCTATCACCTCATTTTGTCCGGTCGTGATGGTCAAGTGGATTAAGGCGTCTTGTACATACCAGTTGCGTGGCTTCTGGGAGTATGGGTTCGAGTCACTTCTGGGGTGTGAGTTTTCAGTTGCATATGTCCTGGGGACCATTCAGGCTTGTTCGCATTTGTGTTCCTCACGTGTGCCCCAAAGAATGAGGTGATTTGGTAAAATGCTATGCCCAAGATAACTATCCGAGTGCCGGCGGTGGGGTGGTTCATATAGCCTCGGCTATCACCTCATTTTGTCCGGTCGTGATGGTCAAGTGGATTAAGGCGTCTTGTACATACCAGTTGCGTGGCTTCTGGGAGTATGGGTTCGAGTCACTTCTGGGGTGTGAGTTTTCAGTTGCATATGTCCTGGGGACCATTCAGGCTTGTTCGCATTTGTGTTCCTCACGTGTGCCCCAAAGAATGAGGTGATTTGGTAAAATGCTATGCCCAAGATAACTATCCGAGTGCCGGCGGTGGGGTGGTTCATATAGCCTCGGCTATCACCTCATTTTGTCCGGTCGTGATGGTCAAGTGGATTAAGGCGTCTTGTACATACCAGTTGCGTGGCTTCTGGGAGTATGGGTTCGAGTCACTTCTGGGGTGTGAGTTTTCAGTTGCATATGTCCTGGGGACCATTCAGGCTTGTTCGCATTTGTGTTCCTCACGTGTGCCCCAAAGAATGAGGTGATTTGGTAAAATGCTATGCCCAAGATAACTATCCGAGTGCCGGCGGTGGGGTGGTTCATATAGCCTCGGCTATCACCTCATTTTGTCCGGTCGTGATGGTCAAGTGGATTAAGGCGTCTTGTACATACCAGTTGCGTGGCTTCTGGGAGTATGGGTTCGAGTCACTTCTGGGGTGTGAGTTTTCAGTTGCATATGTCCTGGGGACCATTCAGGCTTGTTCGCATTTGTGTTCCTCACGTGTGCCCCAAAGAATGAGGTGATTTGGTAAAATGCTATGCCCAAGATAACTATCCGAGTGCCGGCGGTGGGGTGGTTCATATAGCCTCGGCTATCACCTCATTTTGTCCGGTCGTGATGGTCAAGTGGATTAAGGCGTCTTGTACATACCAGTTGCGTGGCTTCTGGGAGTATGGGTTCGAGTCACTTCTGGGGTGTGAGTTTTCAGTTGCATATGTCCTGGGGACCATTCAGGCTTGTTCGCATTTGTGTTCCTCACGTGTGCCCCAAAGAATGAGGTGATTTGGTAAAATGCTATGCCCAAGATAACTATCCGAGTGCCGGCGGTGGGGTGGTTCATATAGCCTCGGCTATCACCTCAGTTTGTCCGGTCGTGATGGTCAAGTGGATTAAGGCGTCTTGTACATACCAGTTGCGTGGCTTCTGGGAGTATGGGTTCGAGTCACTTCTGGGGTGTGAGTTTTCAGTTGCATATGTCCTGGGGACCATTCAGGCTTGTTCGCATTTGTGTTCCTCACGTGTGCCCCAAAGAATGAGGTGATTTGGTAAAATGCTATGCCCAAGATAACTATCCGAGTGCCGGCGGTGGGGTGGTTCATATAGCCTCGGCTATCACCTCATTTTGTCCGGTCGTGATGGTCAAGTGGATTAAGGCGTCTTGTACATACCAGTTGCGTGGCTTCTGGGAGTATGGGTTCGAGTCACTTCTGGGGTGTGAGTTTTCAGTTGCATATGTCCTGGGGACCATTCAGGCTTGTTCGCATATATATATATATATATATATATATATATATATATATATATATATATATATATATATATATTATATATATATAATGTCGTACCTAGTAGCCAGAACGCACTTCTCAGCCTACTATTCAAGGCCCAATTTGCCTAATAAGCCAAGTTTTCATGAATTAATTGTTTTTCGACTACCTAACCTAACTATTTCGGCTACCTAACCTAACCTAACCTATAAAGATAGGTTAGGTTAGGTTAGGTAGGGTTGGTTAGGTTCGGTCATATAACTACGTTAATTTTAACTGCAATAAAAAAAATTGACCTCATACATAATGAAATGGGGTAGCTTTATCATTTCATAAGAAAAAAATTAGAGAAAATATATTAATTCATGAAAACTTGGCTTATTAGGCAAATCGGGCCTTGCATAGAAGGCTGAGAAGTGAGTTCTGGCTACTAGGTACGACATATATATATATATATATATATATATATATATATATATATATATATATATATATATATATATATATATATATGTCGTACCTAATAGCCAGAACGCACTACTCAGCCTACTATTCAAGGCCCGATTTGCCTAATAAGCCAAGTTTTCATGAATTAATGTTTTTTCGTCTACCTAACCTACCTAACCTAACCTAACCTAGCTTTTTTTGGCTACCTAACCTAACCTTACCTAAAAATATAGGTTAGGTTAGGTTAGGTAGGGTTGGTTAGGTTCGGTCATATATCTACGTTAATTTTAACTCCAATAAAAAAAAATTGACCTCATACATAGAGAAAAGGGTTGCTTTATCATTTCATAAGAAAAAATTATAGTAAATATATTAATTCAGGAAAACTTGGCTTATTAGGCAAATCGGGCCTTGAATAGTAGGCTGAGAAGTGAGTTCTGGCTACTAGGTACGACATATATATATATATATATATATATATATATATATATATATATATATATATATATATATATATATGTCGTACCTAGTAGCCAGAACTCACTTCTCAGCCTACTATTCAAGGCCCGATTTGCCTAATAAGCCAAGTTTTCCTGAATTAATATATTTACTATAATTTTTTTCTTATGAAATGATAAAGCAACCCTTTTCTCTATGTATGAGGTCAATTTTTTTTATTGGAGTTAAAATTAACGTAGATATATGACCGAACCTAACCAACCCTACCTAACCTAACCTAACCTATATTTATAGGTAAGGTTAGGTTAGGTAGCCAAAAAAAGCTAGGTTAGGTTAGGTTAGGTAGGTTAGGTAGACGAAAAAACATTAATTCATGAAAACTTGGCTTATTAGGCAAATCGGGCCTTGAATAGTAGGCTGAGAAGTGCATTCTGGCTATTAGGTACGACATATATATATATATATATATATATATATATATATATATATATATATATATATATATATATATATATGTCGTACCTAGTAGCCAGAACTCACTTCTCAGCCTACTATTCAAGGCCCGATTTGCCTAATAAGCCAAGTTTTCCTGAATTAATATATTTACTATAATTTTTTTCTTATGAAATGATAAAGCTACCCTTTTCTCTATGTATGAGGTCAATTTTTTTTTATTGGAGTTAAAATTACCGTAGATATATGACCGAACCTAACCAACCCTACCTAACCTAACCTAACCTATATTTATAGGTAAGGTTAGGTTAGGTAGCCAAAAAAAGCTAGGTTAGGTTAAGTTAGGTAGGTTAGGTAGACGAAAAAACATTAATTCATGAAAACTTGGCTTATTAGGCAAATCGGGCCTTGAATAGTAGGCTGAGAAGTGCGTTCTGGCTATTAGGTACGACATATATATATATATATATATATATATATATATATATATATATATATATATATACATACACACGTTTGGCTTGTATCGAAGTCCCCTTTAAAGGTCGAGCTACTGGAGTCTTCCTCTCAGTGATGGAATATAATAGCTCTACCGAATATGTAAACAAACTTATTATCACTGTCTTAGAAGCCATGTGTCCGAGAGAAAACGCTGAGGCAATTAAATGGGATCGAACTCGCGTTCCTGGATTTTATGACACACTACCAACTGAACCACGATAAGCTGTAGAATTTGTGATTAAGGTACTGAATTGTGGATTATCGTGGTTCAGTGAGTAGTGTGCGTGTGCTCAGCCCGTCCTCTCGAGTTGCCATAACGGACAGAACATGGGGTACTAAAAAACCCTAACCTAACCGAGCAGCCCACGTATAAAAAACGTGAATGTGAGCCACTATGATATAACGCATCATATTTTGTCCGATAGGAACTTTGACGTCAAAATACGATGTACTATTCGAGGGGTAGTGACTACAAGACACATTACCTGAAGCTTGCCCTTGCCAACGGCACTAAGATGGTCGCCGGAGCAGGTGAGATCCGTGACCTTGGTGTTTGAGAAGGCGATGGCGTTGTTGGGCCCGGGACAGGCCACCAGGAGCTTGGCTCCCTCCGTCAGCCTCACCACCCGGGTCTTGCCCTCCAGCTCGGGGTAAACCATCTTCTTCCCCTGCACCAGCAAGGGGTGGTGGTGACCCTCCTTCACCGCCACCAGGTCGAACTGGCACGACCCTGTTGGGGGGGGGGGTGTTAGTGCTGTCAGTTGTAGCATTAGGGACGTGGTGAGGTTAGCATTAGGGGACGTGGTGGGGTTAGCATTAGGGACGTGGTGAGGTTAGCATTAGGGACGTGGTGAGGTTAGCATTAGGGACGTGGAGAGGTTAGCATTAGGGACGTGGTGAGGTTAGCATTAGGGACGTGGAGAGGTTAGCATTAGGGACGTGGTGAGGTTAGCATTAGGGACGTGGAGAGGTTAGCATTAGGGGACGTGGTGAGGTTAGCATTAGAGCATTAGGTGAGCATTAGGGACGTGGTGAGGTTAGCATTAGGGACGTGGTGAGGTTAGCATTAGGGACGTGGTGAGGTTAGCATTAGGGACGTGTAAGGTTAGCATTAGGGACGTGGTGAGTTTAGCATTAGGGCATTAGGTGAGCATTAGGGACGTGGTGAGGTTAGCATTAGGGACGTGGTGAGGTTAGCATTAGGGACGTTACCTTGAGGTTACCTTGAGGTGGTGAGGTTAGCATTAGGGCCGTGGTGAGGTTAGCATTAGAGACGTGGTAAGGTTAGCATTAGGGACGTTACCTTGAGGTTACCTTGAGGTGGTGAGGTTAGCATTAGGGACGTGGTGAGGTTAGCATTAGGGCATTAGGTGAGCATTAGGGCATTAGGTGAGCATTAGGGCATTAGGTTAGCATTAGGGACGTGGTGAGACATGAACAAGGGACAACCCTATTGTCTGTGTTCGCATGATGCTGGCAGACTGAAAGGAAAATACTGCTATATACTTGTCCATCTAATGTGCTGAGTGGTCTTTCTGGCTTGATGCCTTCTTGCGATAGTTGTATATCTACTTGAAATGGTCGCTACAACGGCAGCCTTTCTTTTTTGCTGGTCAGGGTTCGATCCCCCCTATGATCCTTCCCTCTGTCCTATCCTTATATCCCATCGATGTGCTATATAGTCACACTTGTTTAGTGCTTTCTCCTGATAATCACCGAATTCATATATGCTGAGTTTTCTACCTTTTAGACTTTACCTATAAAGTATCACAAGTAAAAAATAAATAGATTTACCTTCAAATGAGTAAACCAGGATCAGAATCTGTATGAATTCAGGTTTCCAGTTTACATTCATTTGTCTAAGCAAACTTAACGCGATATTGTAACGGGAGGGGGGGGGGTGAAATAGCTCTCTCTTGTCCATTATTCCACCCCCCCAGTTAACTAATGAGGCCGGGGGAAACAGCTCTCTCTAGTCCGTTATCCCGTCCCCAGTTAGCTAACTATTCTAGAGCACCCCCAGAGTTCCTAAGGCAGCCTCTCTCGTTCAACACCTTGTAACCTAGGTATTTGACTACCTAGGTGCTAAGACTACAAGGCGCCGTAACTTGATCAGCTACCCGAAACCCTAGAGAGAACTCTAGAACACATTTCACTGCCACAACCGTATAAGAGAAACGAAAGGGAAGAGATGAATAATGAAGTAATTAGTGAGGGTTTGGGGTGAGAGAGGTAGAGAGGTGCGAGGAGGGTCATTAGTTGAAAGTGAGAGTTTGGAGAGGGTTGGAGGGAGAGGAGTAGATAGGTAGAAGTAGAAAAGTAGATAGTAGAAGAGTAGATAGTAGAAGAAGAAATGCTGCCACCATCAATTCACCATCATTACATACAAGACAAGGAATGGAACTTGTCTGTATCACAATATTCTCAAAGATGTTATCACGAAGGTCATTATTAGAATGTTTCATCTGTATCATGTCTAAACATGTACTCATTAAAATCATGAAACCAGTAACCGCAGAGGCTTTCTCATCTCAACTCAAAAACTCTAGGGAACAAAGTTAAAGACAATTTAAATAATAAATTCGTCAATTATATTTCCCAAGATTGTTACGAACCCGGATCCAGCGTCCGAGCACGGAGCAGTAACGACCACGCCATCTGTGGGTCAGCTCCCGAAACCCCCGCCAAACGGACGACGACACCTGGTAAGGACGGCGAATACCGGCCACAAGGGCCAGTTTCCAGTCCCGTTCAGCACTCTACACCGCCGCTGCTGACCTCTGGTGAGGTGGTGCTCAGACTACAACGCCATCTATGAAGTGGATGTGTCGGGCGTTTGTGTCTGAGCCCGTAAGTGAGGTGTTTTAGTGTCCCAGTTATTGATGACGTGTCTGCTTACAGAGCCGACCTGGGACTGCTGTGATGGAAGTGGAGTCAGTCTACCCGAGGCAGCCAGTCTCCATACCTTGAACCTTGCTGCAGCTGTTGTGAAGTCGTCCCCCCGGAAGAACACTGTGGTGTGTTAGCCTGCCAGTGGAGTGGCAGTAAAAGGATTTACCCGGGACCGACTGTTGGAGACGATCATCCACTGGGGTACTGAAGACAGGAGAGTGATTTGTGGTGTCACACGAGGCTCCTGTCTAGGGCGTTCCCCTTTTATCGTTCGTGGAGTGGCCGTACCAGCCTTGTTGGCTCAGTACCTGCCAGCAGACCAGCTGGACGTGTGGTTGACGGCCTCCACGGCGGTGCCCCCAGTGGACCTGTGTTTTGGCTGACCTGTGGCCAGGGTAGGCTCAACTTCTTTGGAGAATTCGTTGTGAGGCCACGAAGAAGCACCAAGGACTCAGCACCGAGAGTTATGGCACCAGAGTCTTCAGCAGAAGACTACATTGTGAAGAATCCCCTTGTCAAGTGTTAATACCCCTCCCCCTTGTGCACTCATTTATTTTATATATTTAATCGGTGAAGGTAATAATTATAATATTAAGTTCTTAGCTTTCTTTCCCTACTCCCTTTAAGTTACTTGCGTCACGGATCTCATCCCTTGATAGCCACTACTGGCTTGGGAACGGATATATATATCTTCCTCTAACAACATCAGAGTAAGGACCCCGTTGCGTCCCGAGAGGGCCGTAACATAATTGGCAACCCCAGCGGGATCCGTCCCCTTGTTAAGTATGTTTGACAGGGGTGGTGAAGTGGCGTAATCCCTGTATATAATTCCCCCTGTGTGACGATTGTGACGTTATACGTCCTGTGCGGAGCTCAAGAGTGACTAAGTGCAATATTGTGCAGTGCGGTGCTCGCTGTGATTAAGCGATTAAGTGCAATATTGAGTAGTGCGGTGCTCAGTGATTCAGTGCAATATTGTAGAGCGAAGAGTTCGCTGTGATTAAGTGCGATATTGCGTAGTGCGGTGCCCGAAGTGATTACGTGCAATATTGGCAAGTGCAGTGTTTGGTGCGATAAAGTGCAATATTGACGTAGAACAGTGCTCGGTGCGTGAAGTGCTAACGTGAAAGCGGTGTGTTAAGTGCTAGTTGAGTGTTCCATCTGTGACAATGGCAGAAAAAGCTACCATCGATGATCTGGACGATGTTCAGGCTTTTCTGAACAGAGTGGACTGTCTTGCCAGATTAAAATATCTGAGCAAACCAGAGCTTGTACTAGTGAGCGCCTACCTGGAGATCAAGATCCGTGCCAGTGATTCCCGTGTGGAGATCTTGTCCAAGGTTCACCGGCACCTGAAGGCAGAAGAGAAACAGGAAGGCGGGGCTCCTAGTACAAAGGAAGGTGAGGAAATAGCTTCCACGGAAAAGGAATATAAGAGCAGCGACGTTGATAGTGATGCAGGCGAGCTTAACATCAGCTTCCTAACAGTCAAAATGTGTGCCCTAGAAATAAATCGTGAAATAGAATGGAAGAAATTAGAAATGGAACGAGAGAGACAAGATAAAGAAATGGAGATGAAAGAAAAAGAATTGGCGATGAGGCGTTTAGAATTAGAACGAGAGAGAGAAGAGAGAGAAAGAGAAGAAAGAAGAGAAGAACGAGAAAGAGAAGAGAGACGAGAGAGAGAAGAACGAGAAAGAGAGAGAGAAGAAAGAGAAAGAGAAGAAAAAGAAAGACAGAGACAACATGAACTAGAAGTATTACGATTAGGCGCTGGACAGAGACAAACTGGAGCAAGCGGTTTCGATCCGGTAAGGAATATCAAAATGGTCCCCAAATTCAACGAGAGAGAAGTTTCGAAGTTCTTCGCAGCCTTCGAGAAAGTCGCTGCCTCTTTGGAGTGGCCAAGGGAGAATTGGGCCATCATGATACAGTCAGTCTTGACTGGGAAGGCCCAAATCGCCTACTCTACGTTATCCCTTGACGACTCCGGCGATTACGACAAGGTGAAGAAGGTGGTGCTCATGGCGTACCAATTGGTACCTGAGGCATACAGGCAGAAGTTTCGAAACCTGAAGAAGACCTCAGAGCACACTTTCACCGAATTCGCCACCATCAAGGAGCGACTTTTTCAGGAATGGTGTGCCTCTCGGAAAGTGGAGACCAAGGAAGACCTTGAGCAGCTGATTCTGCTCGAGGACTTCAAGGATTGTTTGTCTGTAGACCTGAAGACATACTTAGAGGAACAGCAGGTAGAGACCTTGAGTGCAGCAGCCACCATGGCTGAAGAGTACATCCTGACTCATAGGCCGTCTGCTAAGTACGTCCCAAGGCATTACCAACACCGGTTTGACAGACCTCATGAAGAAGAGGAAAGACCCGTCCCACAAAGTGCTAAGAAGACGCCCCCAAGTAGCCCCCGAAGAACAAGTCCTAGCAGTCCGAAACACCGGAGCCCGAGGAGGAATATGGTGAGCTTGATTTGTGGGCAGAAAGGGCATATAGCTGCTAGGTGCCGAGGCAGAAGAGGTGGCAGCGCACGTAGGGAGGTGATGATGATGAGCTGTGTTACACCACCAGCAGGAAGCCAGTCGACGACGACGCAGGAAGAACCCAGATTGTTTTCCCCTCACACTTCAGGCGGGTATGTATCGAGTGATCATACTGGTAGATCAGTTGTAGTGCTCAGAGATAGTGGAGCAGCCCAGTCCCTGATCGTGAAGAGCTCGTTACCCGAGGGAGTAAGTGTGGTTGGGAGACCAGAGGTTGTCCTGGTTGGGTTTCCTAGGACGCAGTACATCGCCCCCTTAGTGCCAGTACATCTTGACTCGCCTTATTTCAGCGGCACATGTGAGTTGGCAGTAGTCGATACCCTCCCTGTGGCTGGGATTGACGTGGTACTAGCCAACGACTTGGTGACCGATTGGAGCACCAATCATCCCAAGATAGCGGACGAGTCAGCCAGAACATCAAGGTCTGAGGTAACGACGGGCCATGGTAATGTCCAGGTAGAGACAGACCCGGATTTGAACATGTCTAATTTGTCCTCTCTTCCATAGATCGACGATATTCTAGCAGAGACTTCTAATTCTTCTCTCGACAAGGAACATGAGGTTAAGAAGGCAGAGGTACCTGAGCAAGAAGAGAGGCCTTGTGTGCAGGCACCCACGGATACCAACGAGTCTGGAGCGAAGGCGGACATGTTCTTGCGGTATGGCAAGTTACAGCGTGTATTGAACCAGCCAGAGATTCCCCAGACGTCAGAGGTATGTGAGGTGTGTTCAAAAGGTCTAGTGCCCTCTTTGGTCCAAACCAGGCTAATAGATATAGCCGGTTATGGACATGAAAGGCTCGGGAAGCTTATCCCTCAATTGGCCCCATGTTTCTTAGCGATATTTTGTTCGATGCTCGTATGTGTTCCCAGTGTTCTCAGTAAGGATCGGTGGACGACCCGAAGGATGATGGCTCCCTTGAGCATCGCGAAGAGGTCCCAGGGATTGGAGATTTGTACTGCAAGTGTTGCAGTTGAAGAAGGGACCTGGAAGGTAATGGTAGATACAGGAGGTACGAGAAATGATAATATGAGTGACTGTTTCCGACAGGTTGACACCCCCCGCGTGATAGCCGAGCCTCAATGCAGCGTTATACGGAACGTTGGTCGACCTGACGGTGGCAGAGCGAATGCCATCTGCGACGTGCAAGCAGCCCTGTGGAAACTAGGTGTAAGCCTAGTAGAGGCGTATGCAGTAAGTATTGACTTATCCCCTGTCGCTATCACTCTGAATTATCAGACCCCTGTATTCCAGGTTCCCGTCTCCCTGAGGGACTACCGGATCGGTACCAGAAATGCCGTCTGGGTTCAGCCATCATCGGTGCCACGACATAGGGAAGTGTCGAGTCGCCCCAGATCGTGTCTACACTGATCCTTACTCGAGAGGTGTGAGATTATGCTCCGGATTAACCTCTCGTTGGAGACGTGGAAGATTACGCCAGGCAGGACATTGCCTTACATTTGCAAGTTCCCTTTGTGCCAGGGTTTTTCCTCAGTAGGACAGTTCTGTGGACGAGACAGCCTCGCCATTCCAGATTATAAAGTATGTGTGTCCATTTGGAGTTATGTCGTCGTACTAATTTGGTTTGTGTTTCTCTTTATAGAACCCCAAACCAAATTCTTTTTGGTGGGGAGGTGTTACGAACCCGGATCCAGCGTCCGAGCACGGAGCAGTAACGACCACGCCATCTGTGGGTCAGCTCCCGAAACCCCCACCAAACGAACGACGACACCTGGTAAGGACGGCGAATACCGGCCACAAGGGCCAGTTTCCAGTCCCGTTCAGCACTCTACACCGCCGCTGCTGACCTCTGGTGAGGTGGTGCTCAGACTACAATGCCATCTATGAAGTGGATGTGTCGGGCGTTTGTGTCTGAGCCCGTAAGTGAGGTGTTTTAGTGTCCCAGTTATTGATGACGTGTCTGCTTACAGAGCCGACCTGGGACTGCTGTGATGGAAGTGGAGTCAGTCTACCCGAGGCAGCCAGTCTCCATACCTTGAACCTTGCTGCAGCTGTTGTGAAGTCGTCCCCCCGGAAGAACACTGTGGTGTGTTAGCCTGCCAGTGGAGTGGCAGTAAAAGGATTTACCCGGGACCGACTGTTGGAGACGATCATCCACTGGGGTACTGAAGACAGGAGAGTGATTTGTGGTGTCACACGAGGCTCCTGTCTAGGGCGTTCCCCTTTTATCGTTCGTGGAGTGGCCGTACCAGCCTTGTTGGCTCAGTACCTGCCAGCAGACCAGCTGGACGTGTGGTTGACGGCCTCCACGGCGGTGCCCCCAGTGGACCTGTGTTTTGGCTGACCTGTGGCCAGGGTAGGCTCAACTTCTTTGGAGAATTCGTTGTGAAGCCACGAAGAAGCACCAAGGACTCAGCACCAAGAGTTATGGCACCAGAGTCTTCAGCAGAAGACTACATTGTGAAGAATCCCCTTGTCAAGTGTTAATACCCCTCCCCCTTGTGCACTCATTTATTTTATATATTTAATCGGTGAAGGTAATAATTATAATATTAAGTTCTTAGCTTTCTTTCCCTACTCCCTTTAAGTTACTTGCGTCATGGATCTCATCCCTTGATAGCCACTACTGGCTTGGGAACGGATATATATATCTTCCTCTAACAACATCAGAGTAAGGACCCCGTTGCGTCCCGAGAGGGCCGTAACAAAGATAAGTATCATAATTTAAGCAATTCAACTTAATGTTCAAGATTAATATGCAAAGTGAGTCATCATCCAAGAATTTTTTTTTTTTTTTTTGAGATATATACAAGAGTTGTTACATTCTTGTACAGCCACTAGTACGCGTAGCGTTTCGGGCAAGTCCTTAATCCTATGTTCCCTGGAATACGATCCCCCGCCGCGAAGAATCGTTTTTTCATCCAAGTACACATTTTACTGTTGCGTTAAACAGAGGCTACAGTTAAGGAATTGCGCCCAGTAAATCCTCCCCGGCCAGGATACGAACCCATGACATAGCGCTCGCGGAACGCCAGGCGAGTGTCTTACCACTACACCACGGAGACTGCAATTCGAGAACTCTACAACTTGACTGCCCCTGATCCTCACACAACACTTGTAAACACGACCAAGTCACCTTTCATGCTCAACTCACCAAGTGTCTGCCTATAGCTGGATAGAGAGGGAGGGGGGGGATGGTCTGTAGTTGACAGAGACGGTCCCGCCCCGCCGACTGATAGCCTCTCTGGCTAGGCTGTCCTCTGCTCTGCTGGCTGGTCTCCTATTGCTTCTGTCTATGCTCTACAGCTCCCTCAGTATATATTGGGAAACTTAGTAGCTAACTCCGCCCACAAGTAGATAGCCTCAGGCCCTCTATCAAGCCACTCCTTAAACGTCGGCATGTTTAAGCCAACCGACATGTGTGAGTTTTAGGCCGATGGCGCCTCTCAAATCCTTGTCTGTGACTCATGAACTATATGTATATATTAAATAAAACTAAACCAAACACCTTTACGGTGTTACAATATATCATTGAACAAATATTTAATTCACGTTATTTTCAAGGATAATGTTCACAATTATTATACCTCTGTCACCCCTCACCCCTTTACAATGACGTATTGGTACGATCTGATTTCGTAAACATCTCTGGAACGTAAACAAAGGCAACGTATCACTATAGGTTTGTGTCTAAGTTTCAGGTTCTTGCTCTGAAAGGGTACGCGGGCCAGGGAGCACGAGACATATGGGCCAGGGAGCACGAGACATATGGGCCAGGGAGCACGAGACATATGGGCCAGGGAGCACGAGACATATGGGCCAATGAGCACGAGACATATGGGCCAGGGAGCACGAGACATATGGGCCAGGGAGCACGAGACATATGGGCCAGGGAGCACCAGACACATGGGCCAGGGAGTACCAGAAATATGGGCCAGGGAGCACCAGACATATGGGCCAGGGAGCACCAGACATATGGGCCAGGGAGCACCAGAAATATGGGCCAGGGAGCACGAGACATATGGGCCAGGGAGCACGAGACATGAACACGGGAGTGCGAGACACAAGGTCAGACATAATTGGGGTAAAATCCAGGGGAATACCAGGTAAGGCACAGGTAAGACGCGTTAATGATATGTAAAGCTATTCACATCACGTCACTAGCCTCAAGTCATTTCTGGCTCGGGGTCTAAACTTATCCCTCCTCATAGCTTACCTTGAGAGTGATTACTCACAGCCACCAGCATCCCCACGATCACCACCCTTCTCAGTGTCTTGGAGATCATCTTAGTGGAATTTGTCCGGTTCTCAGGAGACGCAGAGCTGAGTGATGTGCGTGCTGGAGACGCCAGCAGCTCAATGACTGGAGCGAGGGACTCCCGCTATTTATAAATGAATACCACGGTTAAAGTACGTCACAGGAAGTGACTGTTCTTGTCCTCCTTGTACGGTATCATAAATTCACTCTCACGGTAAGATTGATTGATTGATTGGTGAAGATTAAGCCACCTAAGGGGTGGCACGGGCATGAATAGCCCGTAAGTGGTGGCCCTTTGGAGCCATTACCAGTATCAATAGCTGATACTGGAGATCTGTGGAGGTGCGACTGCACCCTGCGGACCTTGATGTTGTTGTTTAAGATTTGCTACTTGGAACAATAAGTTCCAAGTAGCACGGGCTATGGTGAGCCCGTTGTGGACTTACCTGGCACAGGAGCGGGGCTGTCTCCTACGGACCTCTCCATGGTAAGACACCCACCAAGGAATATATACACAGCTGGCTCCCCCTTCCCCACTTCTCGGTCTATATACATTACGGTTATTTAGGTCTTGAGCTTTGAAATTGAAATTGAAATAAGTTTATTGAGGTAAAATACACACAAAGGGATGAGGTAGTTCAAGCTATTCTCACCCCGTTCAGTACATCGTGTTAATACATACATAGACACACATCACAAACAATAAACATATTACCGAACATTCTGAGAGATAAACATATACATTTCCTATCTTGAGCTTAGTTTAGGCTCAACGTTTACTTACTGATCACTCAGTAAGCAAGAGTCACGGTCTTAACCTTCCAGGTGATGATTTAGGGGCGTATCTTCTAGATTTTGGTAGGCCTTAAACCCAAGACGAAACCAGACAATGGTGTACTTATTGACCGTCGACCTATGGAAGGTCATTAGGTATACTGATTGATGAAGATTAAGCCACCCAAGAGGTGGCACGGGCATGAATAGCCCGTAAGTGGTGGCCCTTTCGAGCCATTACCAGTATCAAAAGATGATACTGGAGATCTGTGGAGGCGCAACTGCACCCTGCGTGACGGGAGATGTCTCCCGGACCAAGTGGTGACCAAATGGTAGTGACCAGATGGTGTGGGAATTGATCAAGATTGATGAAGATTAAGCCACCCAAAAGGTGGCACGGGCATGAATAGCCCGTAAGTGGTGGCCCTTTTTAAGCAATTACCAGTATCAAGAGCTGATACTGGAGATCTGTGGAGGTGCGAATGCACCCTGCATAACGGGAGATGTCTCCCTTGTGAATGTGTTAAGATGAAGATGAAGCCACCCAAAAGGTGGCACAGGCATGAATAGCTCGTAAGTGGTGGCCCTTTTGAGCCATCACCAGTATCAATAGATGATACTGGAGATCTGTGGAGGTGCGACTGCACCCTGCGTGACGGGAGATGTCTCCCGGACCAAATGGTGTGTGAATTGATCTGATTGATTGATGAAGATTAAGCCACCCAAAAGGTGGCACGGGCATGAATAGCCCGTAAGTGGTGGCCCTTTTAAGCCATTACCAGTATCAAGAGCTGATACTGGAGATCTGTGGAGGTGCGAATGCACCCTGCATGACGGGAGATGTCTCCCTTGTGAATGTGTTAAGATGAAGATGAAGCAACCCAAAAGGTGGCACGGGCATAAATAGCCCGTAAGTGGTGGCCATTTTTAAGCCATTACCAGTATCAATAGATGATACTGGAGATCTGTGGAGGTGCGACTGCACCCTGCGTGACGGGAGATGTCTCCCGGACCAAGTGGTGACCAAATGGTGATTAGGTATACAAGTCACCTATTTTCTCTTTGACAAATACTAACATTCGTAATGTAGTCGACAGAACGACAAGGTGAACGATGCACGTTCTAGAGTTTAGTTCCCACATCTTGCCAGAAACGCTGTGTGTATTAGTGCTTTTAGGCATAGTATATATTAGCTCTTATCTAGAAATCCAACATTCTGCTTGCAACTCATTTGATATGTCTGTACTTTGACCTCAATAAATTATTATTATTATTATAGAGTCAGAGCTTCAAACATGATCGAATACTGACATAGATTTTCAATGTCAGCTCTTTACGCTGTGATCCCGACGGTCATTTGTGATGATAAAGAGGAGTAAGATGAATACAAAAGACATGTACACATACAGCACATAAATAAAGCCTTGCTCATGTTGACCAGACTACACACTAGAAGGTGAAGGGACGACGACGTTTCGGTCCGTCCTGGACCATTCTAAATCGACTTGAGAACGTCGTCGTCCCTTCACCTTCTAGTGTGTGGTCTGGTCAACATACTTCAGCCACGTTATTGTGACTCCTCGCTTGCGCATGTCTCGTGTGGACGGGTACCACACAGCTTTATACACAGAAAACACAATAACGTGATATATATCAAATGAACAAATCCACAAGAAGCCTTGCTGAGGGTTCGAACCTATGCACCGGTCCGCATGACACCATAACGCCAACACTGCGCACAACCACCACGAACACGCTTGCCTGCGCGCATATACGTTTACAAACTCATTCATACGAATTTTTTTTTTTTTTTTTTTTTTTTTTTTTTTTTTTTTTTTTTTTTTTTTTTTTTTTTTTTTTTTTTTTTTTTTTTTTTTTTGAGATATATACAAGAGTTGTTACATTCTTGTACAGCCACTAGTACGCGCAGCGTTTCGGGCAGGTCCTTAATCCTATGGTCCCTGGAATACGATCCCCTGCCGCGAAGAATCGTTTTTTCATCCAAGTACACATTTTACTGTTGCGTTAAACAGAGGCTACAGTTAAGGATTTGCGCCCAGTGAATTCTCCCCGGCCAGGATACGAACCCATGACACAGCGCTCGCGGAACGCCAGGCGAGTGTCTTGCCACTACACCACGGAGTGGTAAGACTTGCCACCTATAACACAAAAGATTACTCCGTCTTGAGTCTACAGCCACAGGACCGAACAGGTGTGTAATGGGGGTAACAGGTGTGTAATAGGGGGTGACAGGTGTGTAATAGGGGGTAACAGGTGTGTAATAGGGGGTAACAGGTGTGTAATAGGGGGTAACAGATGTGTAATAGGGGGTAACAGGTGTGTGTAATGGGGGTAACAGGTGTGTAATAGGGGGTAACAGGGGTAGGGGGACAGGTGTGTAATAGGGGGTAACAGGGGGGTGTGTAATAGGGGGTAACAGATGTGTAATAGGGGGTAACAGGTGTGTAATGGGGGGTAACAGTTGTGGGGGGGTCGACAGAGGGTTTTAAGGGGGTAATATATGAGGGCCCCGGTCTGGTTCGTTCTCGACTCAGAATCAAAAATTCCGGATTCGAATCCCGGGTGGGACCGGTTGGGCGCATTTCCTATCACGTTCACCTAGCAGTAAGTCGGACATCATAAGGTAATCAGCTTGTTGTGGGGTTGCATCCTGGGCGGGGGTCAGTAATTCCTCCTTGGGGTGGGGTGGGGGGAGGAGGGATCTCGATATAAGCCGAACGTGTATGGATATATACTCTCTCTCTCTCTCTCTCACGGGAGACATCTCCCGTCACGCAGGGTGCAGTCGCACCTCCACAGATCTCCAGTATCAGCTCTTGATACTGGTAATGGCTCAAAAGGGCCACCGCTTACGGGCTATTCATGCCTGTGCCACATTTTGGGTGGCTTAATCTTCATCAATCAATCAATCGGATATACTCTGGCTGTCTGTCCCTCGAGACGGGGAATTAATTATATATTAAATTCATTCAAAGGCGGGTTGGCATGACTTAAATTCTTTCTGTTGGTTCGGCAAGAGGTCGGTTAGTTTTCTAGGGTGCATTTCTTGCTCAAGAGACTTTGCCACAGACGATGATATGTCCTTTTCCAGTAGGTTAACAGACTTTGGCTCCCAAGGGACATGGGTAACAGCCTCTGCCTCCTAGACAACGTAGCGAGGATGTCCGCCTAGTCATCTTCTTGAGGTTATCTTGAGATGATTTCGGGGCTTAGTGTCCCCGCGGCCCGGTCCTCGACCAGGCCTCCACCCCCAGGAAGCAGCCCGTGACAGCTGACTGGCATAAGGTGAAAGAAACTCTGCCCATTGTTTCTCGCCGGCGCCCGGGATCGAACCCAGGACCACAGGATCACAAGTACAGCGTGCTGTCCGCTCGGCCGACCGGCTCCCGTCATTGCCATATATGTTACAGTGACAAGTGCGCGGATAGAGACGATGAGATATCATTACTAACATTCAGAGGTTAAGATTAGCCAGTAGTTTATTTATCAGTGACTATTAGGGCTGCATGGCAAGCACAGGTGACTTGTAGTGTCCAAATATTCGACATAATACACTGATGTATGATTTGGGAGATGGAATCTCAGAAGACTTTCATCAGACCGTAAGTGTCTCACCTATACCGTCACTCATCTTGGAGCCGTCGGCGTAGAGGTGGTTGTGCAACCTGTCCTACAAAGAACGTCGCATTACGCTCGTATGCGTTACATAAGGCCAACAATTTTCGTACTAGAAAATTGAAGCGGGTCGCGAAAGTGACGTACTGGCCCATTTTCTGTTTTGGGTCCTCTGGTAGGCTAGGACAGGACACTTTACACTGACCCTTCTCTTGACGTTGGGGAAACTTTAGGAGGACGGGCTATGTTGTAACGGAGGTTGTGTAGTGTGTTGCACAAGTACTGGTAGATCTCGTCCTACTGAGCCAGTTATAATAATAAATAAATAATAAATAAATGTTTATTTAGGTAAGGTACATACATACAAGAGATTTTACAAAGTTTGTTGGATTAATAGATAGAGCTAGTACATACAATGCCTAAAGCCACTATTACGCAAAGCGTTTCGGGCAGGGCAGTTGTTTCTGTCAAGTGTTCTGTCAAGTTTTAGTATACAGCTAACTCTGTAACACAAATATGTAACCTTTTCTTGTTCTAGAAAGTTAGGGAAAATTTGAAATGTAGTCTCAAAGAGGGAATCAAAACTGAGCTACACACAGAAATTATTTGGCTAGAATTAACAAAAAACCAAATAATCTTATAATAGGAGTTATATACAGGCCACCAAATTTAGACAGAATGGAAGCAAAGCATCTATGGGATGAAATATCTAGAGCATCTAGGTCTAACAGTATTTGTGACATGGGTAACTTTAATTTTAGTGGAATAAACTGGATTAACAGAACAGGGAATAGCGAAGCAGAAGATTTTATAGAATTAATTGACGATTGCTTTCTTACTCAACACATAAAGGAACAAACACGGGAAAATAATATGTATATGTATATATATATATATAATAAATATATATATATTTATATAAATATAATTTTACTTAAAGTATGATAATAACAAATCTTAACTGAACCACGACGTGCAATCTTTGACGAGGAATGACTAACTCTTTCATCACGAGTTTGTTTATCTCACAAAGACTTACGCCAGCGGTGGCGGGAAGACCCTGGGGGAATTTGGCGGGAAGAGTATCAAACCAATTTAGGATGCTCTTGGTACCGCCATTGTGGGCTCCATCATTAATATTGCCTCACCATCATATATCGTTCATGTTCGAGGATGGGTTTTTTGTTTTTGAGTAAAACATAATAAGAGGTGTAGGTGAAGAAAAAGTTTTGACTAAGTGGAATATTGATTTTATGACAGCAGGCGGGTTGTAGTGTTAAAAATTAATATAAACTGTTTTATTTAATATAGTTGTGTTGTCTGGCATTGAAGCATAAGAAACCGATTTATGAATATCTTATTTCACCTTAAGCACTTACTGAGTTTTAATATCTGGCCAATTAAGCAATAGAAGAGCCGCAGAGCACCATTATTGAGTTGTGTTAGGGTATCAGCAGGCCTTGCCTGCGGTCTCCGTACATGGCACGGCTTAATATGTACCGTGACCGCTGAAGGGCTGCACCTCCAAGTACTGAGAAAGCCTCATGGCACGGCTTAATATCTACCGTGACCTGCTGAAGGGCTGCACCTCCAAGTACTGAGAAAGCCTCATGACACGGCTTAATATCTACCGTGACCTGCTGAAGGGCTGCCCCTCCAAGTACTGAGAAAGCCTCATGGCACGGCTTAATATCTACCGTGACCGCTGAAGGACTGCACCTCCAAGTACTGAGAAAGCCTCATGGCACGGCTTAATATCTACCGTGACCGCTGAAGGGCTGCACCTCCAAGTACTGAGAGAGCCTCATGACACGGCTTAATATCTACCGTGACCGCTCCAGGGCTGCACCTCCAAGTACTGACTCTCGGTTAGCTATTTACTGTTATGTGAGTAGCGGCATTAGGTGATAGGAAACGTTCCCCAACCAGTTATAACAGAGAGAGAGCGAGAAAAGATAATTTCCCCGGCCGGCTTGACCTATACCATATCTGGAGCAGATAATGGTTGTAAAGTTGGGTTTTACAAGCGACGGAGATACAATCCGGAAACGGGCACAGTCTTCTCTACAAAACTTATTAGTTTGATAAACGAATTCAAGGCTTCTTGAATTGTATAATTAATAATTACTTTTCACTGTCAATATGTACGACTTTGGTGTGCGTTGGTGCAATGATGTGTTGCAGGGGCTGGTGTACCTTGCATGGTAGGATGATGTGTTGCAGGAGCTGGTGTACCTTGCATGGTAGGTACCTTGCATGGTAGGATGACGTTGTTGCAGGAGCTGGTGGTGTACCTTGCATGGTAGGATGACGTTGCAGGGGCTGGTGTACCTTGCATGGTAGGATGACGTGTTGCAGGAGCTGGTGGTGTACCTTGCATGGTAGGATGACGTTGCAGGGGCTGGTGTACCTTGCATGGTAGGATGACGTTGTTGCAGGAGCTGGTGGTGTACCTTGCATGGTAGGATGACGTTGCAGGGGCTGGTGTACCTTGCATGGTAGGATGACGTGTTGCAGGAGCTGGTGTACCTTGCATGGTAGGATGATGTGTTGCAGGAGCTGGTGTACCTTGCATGGTAGGATGACGTTGTTGCAGGAGCTGGTGGTGTACCTTGCATGGTAGGATGACGTTGCAGGGGCTGGTGTACCTTGCATGGTAGGATGACGTGTTGCAGGAGCTGGTGTACCTTGCATGGTAGGATGATGTGTTGCAGGAGCTGGTGTACCTTGCATGGTAGGATGACGTGGTGTACCTTGCATGGTAGGATGACTGGTGGTGTACCTTGCATGGTAGGATGACGTTGCAGGAGCTGGTGTACCTTGCATGGTAGGATGACGTGTTGCAGGAGCTGGTGTACCTTGCATGGTAGGATGACGTTGCAGGAGCTGGTGTACCTTGCATGGTAGGATGACGTTGTTGCAGGAGCTGGTGTACCTTGCATGGTAGGATGACGTTGTTGCAGGAGCTGGTGTACCTTGCATGGTAGGATGACGTTGCAGGAGCTGGTGTACCTTGCATGGTAGGATGACGTTGTTGCAGGAGCTGGTGGTGTACCTTGCATGGTAGGATGACGTTGTTGCAGGAGCTGGTGTACCTTGCATGGTAGGATGACGTTGTTGCAGGAGCTGGTGGTGTACCTTGCATGGTAGGATGACGTTGCAGGGGCTGGTGTACCTTGCATGGTAGGATGACGTGTTGCAGGAGCTGGTGTACCTTGCATGGTAGGATGACGTTGCAGGAGCTGGTGTACCTTGCATGGTAGGATGACGTTGTTGCAGGAGCTGGTGTACCTTGCATGGTAGGATGACGTTGTTGCAGGAGCTGGTGTACCTTGCATGGTAGGATGACGTTGCAGGAGCTGGTGTACCTTGCATGGTAGGATGACGTTGTTGCAGGAGCTGGTGTACCTTGCATGGTAGGATGACGTGTTGCAGGGGCTGGTGTACCTTGCATGGTAGGATGACGTTGTTGCAGGAGCTGGTGTACCTTGCATGGTAGGATGACGTTGTTGCAGGAGCTGGTGTACCTTGCATGGTAGGATGACGTTGCAGGAGCTGGTGTACCTTGCATGGTAGGATGACGTTGTTGCAGGAGCTGGTGTACCTTGCATGGTAGGATGACGTTGCAGGAGCTGGTGTACCTTGCATGGTAGGATGATGTGTTGCAGGAGCTTGTGTACCTTGCATGGTAGGATGACGTTGTTGCAGGAGCTGGTGTACCTTGCATGGTAGGATGACGTTGCAGGAGCTGGTGTACCTTGCATGGTAGGATGACGTTGTTGCAGGGGCTGGTGTACCTTGCATGGTAGGATGACGTTGCAGGAGCTGGTGTACCTTGCATGGTAGGATGACGTTGCAGGAGCTGGTGTACCTTGCATGGTAGGATGACGTTGCAGGGGCTGGTGTACCTTGCATGGTAGGATGACGTTGCAGGAGCTGGTGTACCTTGCATGGTAGGATGACGTTGCAGGGGCTGGTGTACCTTGCATGGTAGGATGACGTTGCAGGGGCTGGCGTACCTTGCATGGTAGGATGACGTGTTGCAGGGGCTGGTGTACCTTGCATGGTAGGATGACGTTGCAGGAGCTGGTGTACCTTGCATGGTAGGATGACGTTGTTGCAGGAGCTGGTGTACCTTGCATGGTAGGATGATGTGTTGCAGGAGCTGGTGTACCTTGCATGGTAGGATGATGTGTTGCAGGGGCTGGTGTACCTTGCATGGTAGGATGACGTTGCAGGAGCTGGTGTACCTTGCATGGTAGGATGATGTGTTGCAGGAGCTGGTGTACCTTGCATGGTAGGATGACGTTGCAGGAGCTGGTGTATCCTGCATGGTAGGATGACGTTGCAGGAGCTGGTGTACCTTACATGGTAGGATGACGTTGCAGGAGCTGGTGAACACATTGAGTGATATTTATCATTTTAATTGCCAAAAACGCGTTCCATAATCTCATCATTTGGGACAGGGTGTTCTGAGGGTAAAGTAATTATAATGCTCAGCTACCCACCCTAGTTAAACACCTGCACTAATTAAGATAATAAGACTAATTACGTAGCGGTTTAGAAGTGATTATCTCCAGGGTACAGTACCTCTTCCCTGAGGACAGCTTGATTAGGAACATAGGAACAAGAGAATTGCTCATTTCGTGCAAATGGGATATTGAGTGATAGTCTCTTGTAACAGATATTGTTATTGAATAACAATATCATTCAATATCAATATCCCATTGCACGAAATCTGCAAGAATTCCATTGCACAAAAATATCCTTCATTCTTGAAAGTGGGAGCTGCAGTCTAGCTAAGTGTAGGGTGTATTTTGTGCAATTATAATAATACACTCATGCCAGCCACATTGGTGTATTCTTGGCATTATTAGTTATTATTATTATTATTATTATGCTTCAGTGGAAGCCTCAGGAACCCTAGAGGTTTCAGTTGAATCCCAAGTTGCTGTGCTTTTGACCATGTTGTGGCGTATGGGTCTAAGGCTGGGAGTATCCAGAGCATAAGTTCGAATCCCTCCCAAATAGCTCCTAATGGTTTTCGCCTTATTATTATTATTATTATTATTACAAGAATTAACAACCTTACAAGGATTCTTAATATATAACTTCTTTGTCATTTATATCGGTATCAAAATAATTTACATTGTCTTATTGCTAATTTATAATTATATGAGGGTATGTATGCGTTTGTCTGTTTGCTCAAACTGGAGAGGTGGAGGCCAGATGCTTATGGCTAACCTCACCCGTAACTCTGTAGTGATTGTTGAAGGGCAAGTGACGAACATGGCCGGTGTCGGGGGGTTAGTCCCATTGTTCCCATTAAAAGAACGTTAGCTCCCATGATGAATGGGGAGTGACCAATGGATGACTAATTTGGTCTCAAATCATCATCAATATTATACAAATTATATTATTTACTGTGAGTTTCATCGAAGTCAGTGGTTAGATATGTAGTCTCAGTCTCCGTCTCCGTCTCCTCAGTCTCCGTCTCCTCAGTCTCCGTCTCCTCAGTCTCCGTCTCCTCAGTCTCCGTCTCCTCAGTCGCAGTCTCCTCAGTCTCCGTCTCCTCAGTCGCAGTCTCCTCAGTCTCTGTCTCCTCAGTCTCCGTCTCCTCAGTCTCCGTCTCCTCAGTCTCCGTCTCCTCAGTCGCAGTCTCCTCAGTCTCTGTCTCCTCAGTCTCCGTCTCCTCAGTCTCCGTCTCCTCAGTCGCAGTCTTCTCAGTCTCCGTCTCCTCAGTCGCAGTCTCCGTGGTGTAATAAATAATATTAAAAATAAGTATTTGCTGCTGACTAAAACTTTTGCCCAGACCAGGGATTGAACCAGGGACCTCTCGATCTGCAGTCGAATGCTCTACCACTGAGCTACACCCCCGTCTGGTTCTCTCTTGGAGGGAGAGGCAGTGACGCTCACAAGGTCACTCTGGCAAACTTCAAAATAAGTATTTGCTGCTGACTAAAACTTTTGCCCAGACCAGGGATCGAACCAGGGACCTTTAGATCTTCAGTCTAACGCTCTCCCAACTGAGCTATCTAGGCGGTGAGTAAGTTGTATCTACTTGCTTTTATAAGCACTTTTCTGTACTATATACAAGAGTTGTTACATTCTTGTACAGCCACTAGTACGCGTAGCGTTTCGGGCAAGTCCTTAATCCTATGGTCCCTGGAATACGATCCCCTGCCGCGAAGAATCGTTTTTTCATCCAAGTACACATTTTACTGTTGCGTTAAACAGAGGCTACAGTTAAGGAATTGCGCCCAGTAAATCCTCCCCGGCCAGGATACGAACCCATGACATAGCGCTCGCGGAACGCCAGGCGAGTGTCTTACCACTACACCACGGAGACTGCAGTCGAATGTTTATTTTCCTTACTAAATTATATTAACCCTTGCATCCCATTCTCGTCTGTCGTTGATTATCGCTCATTACAGAAGTTGAAGAAAGGGGAGAGGAAGAGGTCAGGGACCTCTCCCTTCCTCTCCTTTCCTCTCAATCGTTTCATCATTCTCCGTGGCGAAGTGGGAAGACGCTCGCCTGGCGTTCCGCGAGCGCTTTGTCATGGGTTCGTATCCTGGCCGGGGATGATTTACTGGGCGCAAATCCTTAACTGTAGCCTCTGTTTAACTCAACAGTAAAATGTGTACTTGGTTGTAACAACTATTCTTCGCGGCGGGGATCGTATTCCAGGGACCTGCCCGCAACGCTACGCGTACTAGTGGCTGTACAAGGTTATCTTGAGGTTATCTTGAGATGATTTCGGGGCTTTTAGTGTCCCCGCGGCCCGGTCCTCGACCAGGCCTCCACCCCCAGGAAGCAGCCCGTGACAGCTGACTAACTCCCAGGTACCTATTTACTGCTAGGTAACAGGGGCATTCAGGGTGAAAGAAACTTTGCCCATTTGTTTCTGCCTCGTGCGGGAATCGAACCCGCGCCACAGAATTACGAGTCCTGCGCGCTATCCACCAGGCTACGAGGCCCTGGCCTCGTATCCTGGTATATCTAAAAAAAAAAATAAAAAAAAATAAAAAAAAAATAAAAAAAAATAAAAAATGTGTTAGTAGTAATGTGACGTGTTAGAACTGTTGGGTAACAGCTTGTACATAACGTTTATGGTGAAGGCTTCCTGTCCCCGAGAGAGCATATATGTCTCCTACCATTCTCAGACACGCTTCCTGCCATGCTCATGGCCATTGCTCACAAGATATCATAGATATCATGTATGCGCGCGCACACACACACACACATGCGCACACACACAAAATTCTCAGGGGAATTGACAGGGTGGACAAGGATGGATTATTTAACACGGGTGGTACACGCACAAGGGGACACAGGTGGAAGCTGAGTACCCAAGTGAGCCACAGAGACATTAGAAAGAACTTTTTCAGTGTCAGAGTAGTTAGTAAATGGAATGCATTAGGAAGTGATGTGGTGGAGGCTGACTCCATACACAGTTTCAAATGTAGATATGATAGAGCCCAGTAGGCTCAGGAATCTGTACACCAGTTGATTGACGGTTGAGAGGCGGGACCAAAGAGCCAGAGCTCAACCCCCGCAAGCACAATTAGGTGAGTACACACACACACACACACACACACACACACACACACACACACACACACACACACACACACACACACACTTTGATTTGATTTGATTTGATGATGAAAGATTTGTGAACCTCATTCTGGAGACATTCTTGTATCAACACATAAAGCAAGCCACAAGAATGAGGGAAGGAGATATACCGTCAGTACTGGATCTAGTATTCACCAGGAAAGAAGAAGAGATTTTTGACATCCAGTACCTTCCTCCCTTGGGAAAGAGTGATCACGTCCTGTTGGACATTAAATATGCTTTAAGATATCATCTAGAAGAAAATGGGGACATTGAAACAGTTGATAAACTCGATTTAAAGAGAGGCAACTATGGGGAACTTCGAAATTTTTTTAAAGAGTGTAATTGGACAGAATTGTTGCTAGGCAGGGAAGTAAATGAAATGTATGCCAAATTTTTAAAACTATACGAGGAAGGCACACAAACATTCATACCAAAACAGAGATGCAGGACCAGAAAACAGGATTGGTTCGACAGAAATTGTGAGAGGGCAAGAGACCAAAAGACACAAAAATGGAATCAGTATAGGAAGAGGCCAAACCCCCAAACATACCAGCGATACAAAGATGCGAGAAACAATTATACAGCAGTAAGGAGAGAGGCAGAAAGAAATTTTGAAAAAGGGATAGCAGATAAATGTAAAACAGAACCGGGCCTATTCTACAAATTCATAAACAACAAATTGCAGGTAAAGGATAATATCCAGAGGTTGAAAATGGGAAACAGATTCACGGAAAATGAAAAGGAAATGTGTGAAACATTAAATGAAAAGTTCCAAAGTGTGTTTGTACAAAATGAAATCTTCAGAGAACCAGACACAATAAGAATTCCAGAGAACAACATAGAGCGGATAGAGGTGTCTAGAGATGAAGTGGAAAATATGCTAAAGGAGCTCGGGAGGAACAAAGCAGCTGGCCCAGATGGCGTTTCACCATGGGTTCTGAGAGAATGTGCATCTGAGCTCAGCATTCCACTTCACCTGATCTTTCAGACATCCCTGTGTACAGGAATCGTAGCAGACGTGTGGAAACAGGCTAACATAGTTCCAATCTACAAAAGTGGCAGCAGGGAAGACCCCCTCAATTATAGACCTGTATCATTGACAAGTGTAATAGTGAAAGTATTGGAAAAGCTAATCAAAACTAAATGGGTAGAACACCTGGAGAGAAATGATATAATATCAGACAGACAGTATGGTTTTCGATCAGGAAGATCCTGTGTATCGAATTTACTCAGTTTCTATGATCGGGCCACAGAGATATTACAGGAAAGAGATGGCTGGGTTGACTTCATCTATCTGGACCTAAAAAAGGCTTTCGACAGAGTTCCACATAAGAGGTTGTTCTGGAAACTGGAAAATATTGGAGGGGTGACAGGTAAGCTTCTATCATGGATGAAAAATTTTCTGACTGATAGAAAAATGAGGGCAGTAATCAGAGGCAATGTATCGGAATGGAGAAATGTCACAAGTGGAGTACCACAGGGTTCAGTTCTTGCACCAGTGATGTTTATTGTGTACATAAATGATCTACCAGTTGGTATACAGAATTATATGAACATGTTTGCTGATGATGCTAAGATAATAGGAAGGATAAGAAATTTAGATGATTGTCATGCCCTTCAAGAAGACCTGGACAAAATAAGTATATGGAGCACCACTTGGCAAATGGAATTTAATGTTAATAAATGTCATGTTATGGAATGTGGAATAGGAGAACATAGACCCCACACAACCTATATATTATGTGAGAAATCTTTAAAGAATTCTGATAAAGAAAGAGATCTAGGAGTGGTTCTAGATAGAAAACTATCACCTGAGGACCACATAAAGAATATTGTGCAAGGAGCCTATGCAATGCTTTCTAACTTCAGAATTGCATTTAAATACATGGATGGCGATATACTAAAGAAATTGTTCATGACTTTTGTTAGGCCAAAGCTAGAATATGCAGCTGTTGTGTGGTGCCCATATCTTAAGAAGCACATCAACAAACTGGAAAAGGTGCAAAGACATGCTACTAAGTGGCTCCCAGAACTGAAGGGCAAGAGCTACGAGGAGAGGTTAGAAGCATTAAATATGCCAAAACTAGAAGACAGAAGAAAAAGAGGTGATATGATCACTACATACAAAATAGTAACAGGAATTGATAAAATCGACAGGGAAGACTTCCTGAGACCTGGAACTTCAAGAACAAGAGGTCATAGATTTAAACTAGCTAAACACAGATGCCGAAGAAATATAAGAAAATTCACCTTCGCAAATAGAGTGGTAGACGGTTGGAACAAGTTAAGTGAGAAGGTGGTGGAGGCCAAGACCGTCAGTAGTTTCAAAGCGTTATATGACAAAGAGTGCTGGGAAGACGGGACACCACGAGCGTAGCTCTCATCCTGTAACTACACTTAGGTAATTACACTTAGGTAATTACACACACACAGAACTGAAGGGCAAGAGCTACGAGGGGAGGTTAGAGGCATTAAATATGCCAAAACTAGAAGACAGAAGAAAAAGAGGTGATATGATCACTACATACAAAATACTAACAGGAATTGATAAAATCGATAGGGAAGATTTCCTGAGACCTGGAACGTTAAGAACAAGAGGTCATAGATTTAAACTAGCTAAACACAGATGCCGAAGAAATATAAGAAAATTCACTTTCGCAAACAGAGTGGTAGACGGTTGGAACAAGTTAGGTGAGAAGGTGGTGGAGGCCAAGACCGTCAGTAGTTTCAAAGCGTTTTATGACAAAGAGTGCTGGTAAGACGGGACACCACGAGCGTAGCTCTCATCCTCTAACTACACTTAGGTAATTACATACACATACACTATGGCAACACTAACCCCTATGGCCATAATAGGGAAAACAAAACGAATTTTAATGAACGTTGTTAATACCTTAATTAAAAATGGAAGAACAGTGAAAAAATATATTTTTTCTTCCATGTTAAGGCAATTACATTGCGACAATTTAATTACAATTAGCATTACATTAGAATTACAATTATACTGAAAAATATATATTTAATACAGTACACTTGCTCTTCAACACTGTAATTAAATGTGAACAAAAAAAATCCAAGAAATTTGAGAAAACAAATGTTGTTGTTCAAGAAATCACTGATGTTCAAGAAATATGCATTTTATGCAAAATAAATCATATTGTATAAAATACTAAAATAAAAATCGGGTGGTAGGGGGAAGAAAATACTCAAGTATTTAGGGAGAATCCACAAGGTCTTCTCTGAATACCCTTTATTCTCTTCTCCGAGGCTATGGGTCTCTTCAATTGCACCACATGTGGTACCCCTATATGTATTTATGCAAAATTGTATATATACACTAGGCAAGTCTCAAGTTTGCTGCATGGTAGCCTCTTCACTGGCTCCAGCAGTAGGTGGGCGCAGGGTGCATTAGCAGGCAAATTAAATATAAATGCAACCATTTTAGCACAAATCAAATGAAAGACTATTAACTATTAAGGTTCTGTTAAGAGTAGTCTGGAAGAGAAACAAACTTGCTCTCCTCGTTCTTTATTATGAACAACAACAATCACGTCTCAGGTATACGTTACATGACTTACTATTTACAATTCTTATAAACAAAAGAGCATCTATTCAATACATGCTACACCTAACCTATGTAGTATTTAATCCTCCAAAATGCCTTAATCCTAGGCTTTTCGTTGACAGCCCCGCTCCTGTGCCAGGTAAGTCCACTACGGGCTCACCATAGCCCGTGCTGCTTTGAACTCTTTGTTCCCAGTAGCTGGATCTATAACAACAATAACAACCTTAATCCTAACAGGTTCAATAACATTGTGGTCCAGTTCCTGATCCCATTACGTGACGTTAGCATTCACTCATGGAAAATTTGTTTACTGAGAAATTATATAAAATATATAAATGTAATAATTTCCCCTGTATTTTAATGTAAATTTATTCTCCAATTTTTGTAAATCGTTTATAGGTAAATAGGTATAACATTCAGTTTTTTTTTTTTAAAGATCTTGTTCTGTACTACTGAAACACTTGTTCACTAAGAATTGTAATGTATAATTGCCTTGTAAAACTTATGTATATGTAATTTATATTGTATTTTCTTAAATAAAGATAAAAAAAAATGTCCTGGTGGCGGGTAGTGGGGGGTTGATAATAAACTGATTTAACGAGCGTTAATACAAATCGTTTATATGCAATTTTCTTGTAATGTCAACCCTCTCTTGCAATATAAAAAATCTCTTGAATAGACACACATTTAAGATTTTGAGTAATTGAGAAAGATTTAGTGGCTCCTTAAGGTCTATAGAGATCATATGAACTTCAGAAAATATTTTAGGCTTCAACGACCTTCAGAATTTTTCTCAGACGTAGCCTGACCTCTAATATACAAGAAATGTTAAGAGCTTCCTAAGTTTAGCCTTCCTTAAAAATGTTAAACCCTAAAAATTAACAAAACATAGTGATGCAGGTGCTTGGGGCTCCTAACCAGCTTGAAATATACCTTCAGAATCCACGAGAAGACATTGCTGTACTCTTGTAAGGTATTAACACCTTCTTAATGTCCGTAAGTGGTACCGTTATCTTGGAAACTGAAGAGCAAGACTTCAGAAATCCCTGGGAGGTTTCCAGAAATTCCTGTGAGGTTTTCATAAATCCCTGTGAGGTTTTCTAATCCCCGGGAGGTTTTCAGAAATCTCTGGGAGTTTTTCAGAAATCTCTAGGGGGTTCTGTACAGACCTCCCACCAGACTAGAGGCACGTCTCTAAACCAGGACTTGCGGGTGTAGATGTTCCTCTTAGCCTGCGTGACGGGATCGTCTACCTCCCTCCAGGGTGTAATAGTCTTGCGATACTGGCCGTCTTCCTCGAGGTCGCTGTCGAAGTAGGTCGAGGAGTCGTACTCGCTCTCGTAGGCGACCACCTCGTAGAGCGGCGGCTCGTACTTTCCCTTCGGGTTAGGTCTGGTGGGCGCGTAGCTGAACGCGGGAAAATAGTAAGGGGGACTTGATTTCTCACATTTTTGTTTTAATATTATAGAGTATTTGAAAGCTTGACCAGTAATAATGCACTATATGAACACTATATATATATATATATATTTATACGGGGAATGTAGACATAGTATGAGTACAGTGAGTGTGGATACATTATACGTACATGGCTCCTCGCACTGTGTACACCAACTTCTTTCTCTGGGCGCTTTTGATGATGCTGCTACGATCCACAATTTGGTCTCCCTGTACACACACAACGTGTTATTATCTCTCTCTCTCTCTCTCTCTCTCTCTCTCTCTCTCTCACACACACATACTCATGCTGATATTAAAAAAAATCACGAAATACATAACATACGTATATTAAATACACTGAGAACAAAGTTGATAATTGAAGCTCAATTGTCATCCACAGCACAGTTTTGATGTTTAGCGTGGCAAACAGGAATGGGGGGGGGGGGGGGGTTTGAAAGATACGTTGAGATTCTTGTTGTTAAACACGGGGATATAAAGTTAATTTCACACCACAATCACCATCGCTAGTAGCCACCACCAACAACACTCACAATAGCCACCAATACCAGCAGTTACACCACAATCAATGACATCCACAAAAGCCACCACTACCACCAACAACACCCACAATAGCAACAACCCCCCCACAATAGCCCCCACCACAACACACACAGCCATACCAACCTTGCCATAGCCCTTCCATATCAGGACATACCAGGTCGCCCTCCACGCTATGATCACCAACACGACCAGCACCAACATCGGCAATCTGTCAAGCACATACAAGTATATTCAAATATATATATCTGTATTTCTGGTTTAGGTTGTATACAAAACTCAAAATTATATTTGTATGAAGCTATGGGTGGATTTTTTTTTCAGACTGATCCAAAATCACAACTGATGTGGGTTCGTGTATGAATTGATTGCCACAATTTAGATAATGTATTGATGAACAACATTTATAAATTTGCCGACGGTAAAAAAGAATAGGGTGGAAAATATATTCAGAAGACTCAAAATCGCTTCAAGACGATCTAGATAGGCTTTTAAAATGGATGACAGATTAGCAAATGCAGTTTAATGCATCTAAAAGTAGGATTCTGAACATACGTAATGATGATAGTTACCAAATATCAAATAGTCAATGTTGAAATTTGAATGCGAAAAAGAATTGTGAATCATGATTAGTATGGATCTTAAACAAAAAATCAGTGCATAAATGTACGTGTAACAAGCTACATTGGAGATAATTTGCCAGCTACTTAAGCCTTTGCCACCTCTCGTGGTGGCTTAATCTTGATCAATTAATCACACAATAAATGGTCAAGGAGCACAGCACATGTGACACACCGCCTTCAAGACGCCGCCATCTCTACCTTTACCATCATTCACTAACAGCACACTACGGCTCATCCTGTCACAATGTCGACGCAATATATTATTATTACGTCGACATTGTGACAGGTTGATAATATATATTTAGATATGCTGTGTTTCTTGTCACCAAAAACTAATGATACATTAAAAACTAATGCTACATTAGTTTTTGGTGTATAGTATAGTATATACCATAGGATACATACATATATAGGATATGTATATATACATATACGGCAAATAGGATACCGAGATTAATTTTTAGAAACGTTAATAATAACATATTTAATGTTATTTGTAAATTTTATCTTTATTCAGGCCCCATTTACATTATGAAGCTCAATTTTGGTCCCCGGGCTATAGATTTACTTCAATAGATACTGAGAAGAACGACAAAGTTAATCCCAAGATATTAAAAACCTCCCTTATGACAAAAATGGAAAAAACCTAATGTACATTCTCTAGAAAGGCGAAGAGTAAAAGGTGACATATTGAAGTATATAAATCAATACAAACGCATATCAAGGAGGTGGTTACTAATAATATATCAGTACGAAATAGAACACGAAACAACGGAAATAAATAGGATAAGTTTATATATAAAAAAAGACCCGAGTAAATATTGGTTTGGAAACAGGGTTGTTGATTTATGGAACAAATTACCGGATAATATAATAGACGTGGGCAAGTATTTATTGTTTCAAGCGTAGGTTAGACAATTGTATGAATGAGTTAATTTGGCTATGAATAGGGAGCTGCCTTGTATATGTCAAATAGACTGTGCTCTGAGTGTAGAGCATTTTGGACGCTTGTGGTGTCTGTTATGGAGAACCAAGAGGAGAGAACCAGGAACCAAAAGGAGAACCAAGAATCAAAATGAGAACCAAGAGACATCATGTTGAAGTTCCATTAGGCTACCAATGGACCACATTATTACTGAGTACGGGTAACAGACCAACAGCATACCGTTGCTAAAGAGAAATACATTCTTCGGTATGATCTCACATTGCTCAAGCAAATACCTACTTCTGCCACCAGAGAGAGAGCTGACTGCATTGTGGAGATCTCTTATTTAGCTCTTCCACATAATGGCTAGAGGCAGCCAGGCCGCCACGCACCAACCCGTCCTCGACTCAAGTCCATTACATCCAGCGGTCGCCCCAACAGACGCATTCATAAATTTTAACTTGATGTTCATTCAAAACAAGAATTTTCTCAAATATAAATTAGTATTATAATATATTAGCATATTGTGCATATATAGGTTAGGTTAGGTTAGGTGTTTAGGTTCGGTTGGCGATTATTTGCATTTGTAGTACGTGGGTGAAGCATTTATAGCGTTGTGGTTCGAACAAAACTCGTCAGTGAAGCACTTGTTCCGGAAGTGTTCGAACGTCAGCAGTTGTGAGTCGTGTGTAAACCGCTTTTCATTCATAAACAGGGGATTTGGCGGGTACATGGAATCACTTTTGGATCTTTGTTTGGAGGACGGGCTGGACGATCGATATTTTCTTGAGCAGTGCTTTGCTGACGATCTCTGTTCGAACCACAACGCTGAAAATGCTTCACCCATATCAGCCCGTCCTCCAAACAAAGATCCAAAAGTGATTCCATCCACCCGCCAAACCCCCAGCTGTTTATGAATGAAAAGCGGTTTACACACGACTCACAACTGATTTCGTTCGAACACTTCCGGAACAAGTGCTTCACTGACGAGTTTTGTTCGAACCACAACGCTATAAATGCTTCACCCACGTACTACAAATGCAAATAATCGCCAATCGAACCTAAACACCTAACCTAACCTAACCTATGCCTATATATGCACAATATGCTAATATATTATAATACTAATTTATATTTGAGAAAATTCTTGTTTTGAATGAACAGCAAGTTAAAATTTATGAATGCGTCTGTGGGGGCGACCGCTGGATGTAATGGACTTGAGTCGAGGACGGGTTGCGATCGTCATTAGTGGTGGGTCGTGTGTAAAGTGGTTTTGATTCATAAACAAGGGGGTTTAGCTGCTGGAATGAAAACGGCTTGAATGTCGCTAATCCAGCAGCCAAAGCGTGCGTATATACATGTGTGTGTGTGCGTATGCTCATTGAGTTACAGGCCCACTTCCTGTGCCAGGTAAGTCCACTACGGGCTCACCATAGCCCGTGCTACTTGGAACTTTTTGTTCCAAGTAGCGAATCTTAAACAACAGTGTGCCCATTCGCAGTGCAGTGTCGAGACTAGACGAGAAGTCACCTCGTTTCCTCCTTCACACCACGGTGATGTGTCGTGAATTGGTGAAATGTGTGTTGAGAAACTCCATTAGGACGTTCTAGTATGTATACCCGCCATATCTTGTCACCTTTGGTGACAAGATATAGCGAGACAAACACTCTCGAACATCTTGTTGTGAAGACTAAGAGGCATTAGGAAGATATATTAAACGAGCGTGGTGAAGACCAATATGGTTTGTAGAAAACCTCACCGCGGGTCCAGGCCTTTGCAGGGTGACACGAAGCACCCAGTGTGGTGGTAGCAGACACAGTCACTCCCAGAACCGAGTAGGTACGTGGAATTAATATTCAGTTGTAAATAAGTAGCTGTCATTAGTGTGTTTTGTGTGAGATTAGTTGCTTATGTTATTCCATGTACACTGCTACACCTTTAACTGTGTTCAGTAAAAGTGACCAGTGGTCACTTTCTCGCTGTATATTAATTAATAATAATTTAATTATACCTCCAATAATTAGAGACGTACCTCCACTCCTCGCTGTATATATCCTGATTATTAGAGTCCTAAATTATGTTCCGAGACTAAAATATACTTGCTTGTTGGTCAGTAAGCTATTGTGAATAGCCTCAACTCTCCCGCGTTACTTAGGTCTTAAAAGGCTAGCACCAAACCAAGCGGAGTAACGTAGACAATACTCCCTTGATGTTGTTGTAATAGACGTTAGTATTTTACATACTAATTAGCGAACATCTGTTCCCTCAGTCCTGTTCATGCACGAAACTGTGCTTGATTATCGGCTTCATACAAAATACAAATTCTACTATGAAATCGCTGTAATGTCAATTATATTTTTTTATAAATCAAATATTATTATATTATTAATCACAGCCAGAGATATTGCAAATATTGTGAGAGATTGTATTAGTTCTTCCAGGACCAACATTCATTATCTATATAAAATAGAATGATTGAAGATAGAGGACAGACACTTGTGAATAATCTCACATAATTTTGCACTGTGATTGCTATGGGGCACATGCCCAACATGGGCTGGTTGGGGGTTGGCACCATTGCAACAAGTGCCACCGTCGTGGTGCCATAGACGGCGACTCTTGCTTTTGCATTTTGGCTCATTATATTTTGTTCTTGTATCGTAAAACAATAAGCGCTGGTAATGTCAAAATTAAACAAATTCGATTCGTCACACTTAACTTTTAAAAGCCTGATTAAATTTTAATGACGTTATGGGTTTTTCCCTGAGGCTTAATTTCTACTGTTTATAAGAGAAAAATATTCAGGAGGACAAGGGAAGATTAGATAATGATAGAGACTGACAGACACAGTCTGGCAGTAAGACAGATTTCAGAAAGACTCACAGACTGATACACACACACACACACACACACACACAGATGGACAGAGACATGGATACAGACAGGGAGAGATACAGAGAATGACAAAAACTGACTGACAGTGACCGATTGACTGTCTGTGACTGACTGACTGACTGCCAGTCAGACTGAGTGTCAACTTACATACAAGTAGTTCATTACTCACGTCCATTTTAGCATGACGCGACCGACCTCTTGATCAGACTTCTGATCCCGGTAGAAGGCCCACAACGCCGCCCCTGTGAACATGGTCGCCACCGCCAGCAGCCCGTAGATCAGTAGACCCCACCTGTCAACACACACCTCTGTCACTCGTATGGTCTGAGCAAGGGTACCTAAGTTCCTTCCACTACCATTTACGGTACTGACCTTCAGTAGGCAGTGTTTACGACATAGGAAACTAGAATAGTTAACAGATATCCGCTGAACAAATTAGAATAGTTAACAGATATCCGCTGAGCAAATTTGAATAGTTAACAGATATCTGCTGAGCAAATTAGAATAGTTAACAGATATCTGCTGAGCAAATTAGAATAGTTCTGCTGAACAAATTAGAGTAGTTAACAGATATCCGCTGAACAACGCTGAAATTGACAAATCTAAAAGCGAACATGTATAGAGGAAAAACCTACTACATAGATGAGGCCGTCAACAAGTGAATAGCAGAAATATTAAAGGAAAAAATCATTGAACAAATAATGGGAATAAGGCGACTAGGCTATAGAGACTGATACGTACTGTAGTATATCTAGAACCGTTAATAAGACATCTAATGATATTCTTAGTGTTTTCCATTTTTTATTTGATAGAGGATGGCACAGTCTGTGCAGTAAGAGGGGCAGGACAATGTATAGCATATACAAAGAAGGATATTTCCTTGCAGAATTTGTTGCAATTTCGTTGTTGACAGACCCCCCTTCCCCACACTTTTGGTTGGAGAAACCTCAATAGTGCAAAGAAAGACATACAACGAAAGATTTTAAACAAAGCTCTGTGCTCACCTGGTCACGTGGTAATCATGATTTAAGTTACAAGATTGAAATTCTCAAGAGCAAAAGGGTATAAAAATGTCTCCAATGTATGGAGCCTAGTGTTGTTAGTGTTTCCAGCAAGGATAAGGTGAACTCTCCTTATCCTGGAAAAAAAAGCCTTGCAAGTAAGTTACTTTTTCTATCGAATTTTGTGGGGAGGATTAAGGCTACGTGATGAGACGTTGCTTCAGATACGCAATTGTAAAGGAACGTATTGGGAAAACTGGGTATTGGAGCCTCGGTTTTTCCAAATTAGTTTAAAGGGATAAGTGGTGGTGAATTTCTGTAGATTTGCCTCAGATCGAGGGATCATCAGAGGGTTACCATGGCTCACATTTGACCTTTGTTTTGTTAAGTTTTGGAGAGGGAAGAGAGTTGCAATGTAGGGAGTGAGAGAATATAACATCCGCTCTCTCTCTCTCTCTCTCTCTCTCTCTCTCTCTCTCTCTCTCTCTCTCTCTCTCTCTCTCTCTCTCTCTCTCTCTCTCTCTCTCTCTCTCTCTCTCTCTCTCTCTCTGTCTCAATCCCGGAGAACGATACTTGGGCTCCCCAGACCATTGAACCTGTTCACATGTTAACGAAAGCTATTCATCATGCAGCTGACACCAATGTTAAGTGAACAATTGTTGCTATTAGAATACTAGCATAATTAACATTCATTACCGGTATATAAACATAAGTTGTCTAGAAGAAAATTACAGTTTTTCTGGTAAATTGATATGTTAAGTTTTTCGTCTAGACCGGGTTGTAAACAAATTAATCAAAGAAGCTTGGTATGGGTAGAACAGATGAGGGACGGTAGCCTGATACACACACACGAACAGACGATGGACGGTAGCCTGATACACACACACGAACAGACGATGGACGGTAGCCTGATACACACACACGAACAGACGATGGACGGTAGCCTGATACACACACACGAACAGACGATGGACGGTAGCCTGATACACACACACGAACAGACGATGGACGGTAGCCTGATACACACACACGAACAGACGATGGACGGTAGCCTGATACACACACACGAACAGACGATGGACGGTAGCCTGATACACACACACGAACAGACGATGGACGGTAGCCTGATACACACACACGAACAGACGATGGACGGTAGCCTGATACACACACACGAACAGACGATGGACGGTAGCCTGATACACACACACGAACAGACGATGAACGGTAGCCTGATACACACACACGAACAGACGATGGACGGTAGCCTGATACACACACACGAACAGACGATGGACGGTAGCCTGATACACACACACGAACAGACGATGGACGGTAGCCTGATACACACACACGAACAGACGATGGACGGTAGCCTGATACACACACGAACAGACGATGGACGGTAGCCTGATTCACACACGAACAGACGATGGACGGTAACCTGATACACACACACGAACAGACGATGGACTGTAGCCTGATTCACACACGAACAGACGATGGACGGTAGCCTGATACACACACAAACAGACGATGGACAGTAGCCTGATACACACACAAACAGATGAGACACCGGCCATACATACAGGTACTTGATGCTCTCTAGCCAAATGGTAGCTCTTCGGTAGACGGTCGCCTCGCCTCCCGGAGGACCCTCCTCGCTGCCGAAGTAGGACATGTTGGTTTTTGAGACGCACGACTCGCAGGAGCAGTTGGAGTTGGTGGTGTCGCTGTCGGAGGACCGATGTCGACGTCGACGGTAGTGGCGGAGCGTCCGCACCAGGTCGAAGCCATCCTCAGAGTCCGGCAACATATGAGCTGCTCGAGTCGACGTGCTCGACAGGTCGGATGAGCTGTCGTCGTCGTCGTCATCGCTAGTTGATTGTCCCGTGCAGCTGGACGTATCTGGAAAGAGGAAACCCAACTATATATCTTTGAAAATAAAACATTTAAGCTTCCTTACTAGTCAGACATGCTGTTCTAGTTTGCATTTTCGTTCATCAATATCTGAACTCGCATTGTATTCCAGTGTTCCTCGTCACGAGGGAACTCTCCCAGAACTTCCTACTCCTCCCAGCATTTATTTAAAGCACATATATACCCGCATCTAGAGGACATGTGAATGTATCTACTGGTTCATACTGTACCTTCCTCTCTGGGGTGAATCTTCATTGCTTCCAGGGGATGTGAGTTTTTGGGTTGACTGTCATCACTAGCACCAGGAGAAATGAGGTGTTTTTCCGGGTTATCTTCACTACAGAAGGCTAGGTTATCTCTAGCCTTGTCCTGGTTATCTTTCTGTTTGTTGTCGTGCGCGGTGCTCATATCCTCGCTCTGTTCTTTCTCGTCTGTTCCTTTGCAAACATACTCCTTCGCCTCGCTATCCCCCAGGCCCCACGGTGGTATCTCCACCGCCACGAACTGCGCCCTATTTCTCTCCTTTCTGATCCCATCCTTCTCCCTCTTGACCCCATCCTCTGTCCCGACCTCATTCTTGTCCTGTGGCCTGACCTCTTCCATTTCCTCCGTCCTGACCCCACCTTCCTCATCGCTACTGACCATTTTCGTGTCGTTTATAGTGGCCCCATTCTCCCCCTCGTCGCTGCTGGCTTGGTATCCAGGATTGTGTCTACCTCCGTCAGCAGATCTGAAGCTCGTGGGTAAAGATAGGCTGTCATTATCGATCAAATCTTGTTCCAAGTCGTCCATAATTCTCTAATACCCTGGTAGGCTGATTGCTTGTCTTCACGCTGTGTAATAGTATAATACATGAAGCTGCGCGCCGTCAAGGGTTGCCTTAGCCTAGGCTGATTTTGTATTTTGTTTTCAAGGACCGCTTCAGATGCTATTGTCTGTCTCACAGAAGCACTCTGAGAGAATGGAAGATTGTTTATCTTAGTGCGGCGACTCTGAGCAGAGGAGAGCAGTTACTTGTCACTTTAGATAATGTAATCATAGGAAGAACATGTACACAATGTCAGGCGCGTGACAGCGCCTGTCATAAAGCAGATAGTCGACAACACTGTAGACACGTAAAGGTCATGTTGGTAGCAGATTTTATTTTAAAATAATCTTTGCTCGCATATACATATAGGGCTTTATAGCATTTGGAAAAGATCGTACAGGAGGATCTGTCTTTTTAAAATGATCTACTGTCAACTTGGTGTGTTCGAAACGTCTGGTGCGCGTCTCTTGGTTCTTTTACGAATGTGATGTTTTACAATGAATCAGCTTGAGAATAATTAAACAACACAAAATAAATTCATCAATTTCAAACACTGTATATCCTGTTCAAAATATGGCAGAACCTTTTGAACATCCATAATCACCGCATTTGTTTAACACAATTTTTTTGTTTACTTCGGTACATTATTTAAGAAAAAAACACATCTAAAAATCACATCTAAGCCATCGCACAATATAAAACCTTCAAATTATTAATAACCAGACAAATCTATTTTCGCTAGGATAGTATCGCACGATATCTAGACTTGGCTTGCGTCATGTTTATCACGTATTTCGTTCCTTGTTGTGGCTTTGTGCTTGACACGGCCGCTCGTGGATGGCGTAGAGGGAAGGTTCTCACACACTGCTTCAGGCCCTGGCTCTTGTCCTGCAGGGGTAAGGGAAGGGATGATGGAAGTACTGGTGGAAGACGTGCTCAGTTGGGCGCGGCGCAAGCTAGGCTTTATCGCGTCATTCTGGTTTCCGTTCGTCCCCCGGATATACATTGACTCACTCGCACACACATACACACACACGTGGGGGCTGGTGGCTGAGTGGACAGCGCTCTAGATACGTGGACCTAAGGACCGGGTTTCGATCCCCGCAGCCGGCGGAAACAGATGGGCAGAGTTTCCTTCACCCTGATGGCCTGTTACCTAGCAGTAAATAGGTACATGGGAGTTGGACAGCTGGTTCCTGGGGATGTATGTGTGTAAAAAAAATTAGTAGTGACAGTTGATTGATTGACAGTTGAGAGGCGGGCTGAAAGAGCAGAGCTCAACCCTCGCAAGCACAACTCGGTGAATACAACTAGGTGACTAGGTGAATACACGCACGCAAGCACAAAAGTGAAACGAGGTGTAGGGAGCAGGAGGCTGGACACAAATAGGAGAAAAAAATCCTTCAAGAATCAGGTAGACGGGAGGTCTGGGGGATGATATCACACCGAATCTATTGTGTAGCCTACACTGAACAAATATCATCAGCGGCATGTGCTAGGTTGGCTAATATACCTTTAGAAATCAATGCAAGTTATCATTCAAGACCTTTTACATCACATATGTCAGACCAATAGGAAACATCTATTTAAACACAACATGAAGATGGAAACAGTTCAGAGGCATGCCACCAGACTGGTTCCAGAACTGAGAGATATGAGTTACGAGGAAATACTAATGGAATTAAACCTCGCGATGCTGGGAGACTCGATTATCACCTACATAGTGGTCTGGAGAATTGAGATTCCATACAAGTTTAGCTCATTTATTATGCACGCAATACCCATACTGTGGGAGGTAGTTGAACCTAACAAATCAGGTAAGATGAAAGGGTACATTGTAGCAAGGTTTTTATATCAACAAATAACTACAATATAAGCTCACAGGAGATTACACTGGTAAGGATATGTGTCTTAAGTACTAATATTGAGGAACTGGGTAGTACAAGATACAGTCTTTGAAGCACAAGGTAGGGAACTATGAGGCTGAAGACCAGACCACACACTAGTAAGTGAAGGGATGACGACGTTTCGGTCCGTCCTGGACCCTTCTCATCGACTTGAGTGGTCCAGGACGGACCGAAACGTCGTCGTCCCTTCACTTTCTAGTGTGTGGTCTGGTCAACATATTTCAGCCACGTTATTGTGATTCATCATCTGCATATGAGGATGAAATTAGAAACTTCATCTTGTTTTCTTTTGAACAGGGCATGGGTGGCACAATTTTGTATTTCATCGGGGAGTGAGTTCCAAAGATTGGGCCCTTTTATTTTGCATAGAGAGTTTACACAGATTTATTCTGACTCTGGGGGATATCAAATATATATATATTTCTGGTTTGGTGCTCATGGGTCTATTACACCTATCAAGGAAACATTTCAGATCAAGATTAACATTTAGGAACAAGGTTTTGTACATGTAGATAGCACATGAGAATGTGTAGAGTGAATGTATGTTTAGCATGTTAAGGGACTTTAACAGTTGGGCTGTGTGTTGTCTGAAGACAGAGTTTGTTATAGTTCTGATAGCAGATTTTTGCGGAGTGATGATAGACTTCAGGTAATTTGCAGTGGTTGAACCCCATGCACAGATATTGTATGTAAGATAGGGATAGCTTAGTGCATAGTATAATGAGAGGAGAGCAGAGTGGGGGAACATAATATCTGATTTTAGTAAGTATACCAACCGTTTTTGAGACTATTTTGACTATGCGTTGTATGTGGGTGTTGAAGTTCAGTCTCTTGTCTATGTATAGGCCAAGGAACTTCCCCTCATTTTTATTGATGTTAACATTGTCTATCTGAAGTTGAATCTCATTTGATAACTTACTACCAAATAAAATGAAGAAGGTCTTTTATATGTTTAGTGTAAGTTTGTTAGTTGACGTCCACGAGTCCTCGTCTCTGTCTTTCCGCCCTCCTCGCCTCAGTGGGGTTCAGTCCATGAGCCTGGGAACAGGGGCTGATATGTAAGACTCGTCTTGAGACTTATACCCTAGGCGCTCGAGGAGTACCTTGGGGAGACGGAGACAGTAAGAGCCAGGAAGGTGATGGGAAATTTGTTTTGAGGACGAGAGGAGCGCCTTAGACCCATCCGGCGTCACGTGGTGATAGTCGAGGACGCCACTTTTGCTGAATAATATTCGGAACAATGTCATCCTGGACGTTAATGGTTATTATAAAGCGTAAATGTTCACATGTCAATAAGTTAAAATCACTCAATTTGTCATTAACGAGCAATATCTTAAGTCACTTGAAAGCAAATATTTAACATCATCCAGTGTTGTGTCAGGAACTTTGGGTTGGTGGGTTTGTTAGTCTGTTATTGCATATATTGTAGTTGTCGAGCGGCCAGTAACAGTTCTTGACTGACGGACGATTACTACTTCACTGCCTATTCTATTGCAAATGTTGCTCTGTTGTATCTAGTGTTCTGTTGCAACATTTACAATAGAATGTTGTATTTGGTTTGTGAATTAGATTTTGAAATTACAACTTCAAACATTCAAGCTGGGGATCATTATTGGTTCATTAAAAGACTCGTTCGTATTTTAGGAAGTGAAGGAGTGGCTGTTGACCATTGTTAATTGCCACTTCAGACTCGGAAAATGTTAACCAATGGGGTGAGTGTTAGGGTGACTGTCAACCAATCAGCGGCCGGGTTTGGTTGGCTGCTGGTTATAAAAGGGACCACGAGACAACAAGCACGTCAGTGTGTTTTACCTCACTTTTGGTATACAGTTCCAGCTTCGTCTCTTGAAGGTGAGCTGTATGTGGCGGACCCCCCCCCCCCCCCCCTCCCTCTTGTTGCGTCCTCTTCCTCCTCCCTCTTGTTGCGTTCCCCCCTCCCTCCTCCAGCCTCTTGTTGCGTCCCCCTCCTTTCCTTTTTTTCGGGGGAGGGAGTAAAGAGGAAGGAGAGCCATAGGTGAAGGGAAGTATAGAAGTGGGAAATACAGTGAGAGGTATGAAAGCAGGCGGCGGGCTGTCCGCCTTGCTGACACGATGTGTGGGTGTTGGCAGCTAAGCTAAGCTGGCTCCCTCTTGTCAGGGAGCTGTGAGTGTGAGAGAGGTTCTTCACATGTGTTTCACCATATATGGATGTCCATAGATGAATACTGTGTAGCATTCATATATACACACTCCCTGATGCTTACACACACGTTCTGTTTAAGGCTCTTTATTTTATTATTTATAGTTCATAGATACATATACTCGCATACATTTACACATACATACTCAATTTTTCAATTATGGGGTATCTGGTCAGTATTTCATCTGGGAATTATGTACTGTGGGGCGGGGTTTTCTTCTTGTGAATCGAGGCTCTTGGGCCACCAGCTGTGGGAGCGGGGCGTCTCATCTTGGAGTAATGTTTCTAACATTGGGTCCTCTTAACATTTCGATGGTGTTCCACGCCCTGATGGCTTGGTGCTGCAGTCTGATGTTTAGTGGCTGTATGTTCATGGAGTGTCTGATCATATGGTGGACGGTGTTTTGCTGCTCTCCTTAGCGCCTTATTTTGTACTGCTTGCAGTTTCTGCATGTTAGTTTTCTTTATGGTGTGTAGTGGTACTGGGGGATACTCTAGATGCGGCCGGACTAGAGCCTTATATAGGTGGATCTGAATGTTGGCACTGAGGCTTCGGAATCTCCTCAATTTTCCTAAGGCTGCTTTGGCTTTGTTTAGTGGGTCCCTTACATGAGTTTGTATCCGTTCTATTTATCATAAGTCCCAGTATTCTGCCTACCTCCGCATATTGGATCGGCTGGTTGTCAAGGATGATGGGGTCCGGGTTTCTTTTCGCAATGTGTATTATGACACTTTTGTTGGTGCTAATTTTCCATTGCTTCTCAAAGTTGTTTGAGTTCAATTGCCGCCTTGGTCTTGTCGGCTAGTAGCGGCTTTGATGGTCCCGGTTGGCAAATTATTTGGGTGACATCGGCATATGTTGGGGTTGGGATGATTGATGGATTAAGCCACCCAAAAGGTGGCATGGGCATGAATAGCCCGTGGCCCTTTTGAGCCATTTCCAGTATCAATAGATGATACTGGAGATGTGGAGGTGCGACTGCACCCTGCGTGACGGGAGATGTTGGGGTAGGTCAGCTGTATATATATGTTGAAGAGTGGGAGAGGGGCAGCTTCCTTGTGGTACTCCACTTTTCAGTTCTATTACGTCACCCAAGTAGCTGCCGATATTAAGCCTAGCAGTTCTGTTGTCTATAAAGCTGCAGAGTAGCAGTAAATCTTTCGGGAAGTCCTAGTTCAGATATCTTATATTTTAGGCCTGTGTGCCACACTTTGTCGAAGGCTTTCGAAACGTCTCCGAGCACTATATTACACTGATCTTTTTTCGACACTACGTTGGCTATATGCTGGTAGATCAGGGCTATAGCTGTATGGGGGCCCCTCTGCGGTTTCTAAACCCATGCTGCCTGGTGTTGTACTTCCTTCCTCCTCCATGTGAAGTACAAGTCTCTGATAATTTTTTTTCGAATATTTTACCTGGTACTTAGAGAAGGAAAATTGGCCTGTAGTTTTCAGTTTGGGTTGGGGGTTTACCTGGCTTGGGGATTAATCTTATTGTGGCATTCTTGAAGCATGTGGGGAATAGTCCAGATGCAAGAGCTGCATTTATACCTCCCTTCCCCCCCCCCCCCCCCCTTCATCCTCCACCCTCTTGTTGCGCGCCCTCCCCTCCCCTTTCACCCTTTGTTGCGTCCCCCATCTCTTGCCCCGGGTTCCCCGTACTGGAACTAGTTAATGCATGGGGAGACACTACCAATATTTCAGATTTACCTTTTACGAATCGAAGGTTAAGTAAAGTACGCATTAATTAAGTTAACTGTTCTGCGTGTGGCAGTATAGCAGACTCAAATTGGCCTGTGACGCTCTTCTACCCTACTTGTATCATGCTAGAGGCTAGCCCTTAACGTCTGACTTCCAACCTTAAACTATTAATTTATTAAAATGTAAGTGTGCAATGGGGGTTACTAGTCTTTAAAACGTAGAAACTACACATTTAACTTAGTTTTAGTAACATGACTTAAATTCAGCAGGCTAGAGATGTAATTTTTACCATCAACGCTAATTGAATTTTGTAATTTATAGTAAAATTTTATCATAAACGCTAATACCATCAACGATAACTTACTATCGTATATATTCGAAAAATTACCTTAGCATATTTCAGATTTGTATTGTTCATGATTTTAGTTGGGTAAATAGTTCTTTAATATAAAAAGTTAACGGAATAATTAGTCCTGACCATTGCACCTGAACGAGTTAACTTTTCGTAGCGGTAAAATTGTCAGCGCCCCGCGGGTGGGGGGGGGGGGGGGCTTGACAAACGCACCTTGAGTAAACTTCAGATGCTAGTCTCCGGACACCTCCCTCACAGTACATTACTCTTGCAGTTCAAAAAGTTGTTTGGTAATGTACAGTAGAGCTATGCACGTTGACTATTCCAGTTAGGAAAATATTAACACTTTAAATGTATTCTGGACTAATATGGTTTACTAAATGGTTAATTTTTCTTAAACTACGTAATATTTAAATGTTTCAGGTGGGCTCCAGTTCATGTGGGAAAGCTGCAAGGCGCGAGGCACGACCACCTGGAGGTAGTCATCCCGGTGGACTGTCCTACACCAGCTCGGCTCACACTGGAAGGTCCGTATGACTTGTTTTACTTCATTCATTAGTCGTGCAGCTCGAATTGTTATACACGACCCAAATTATTGGAGACTTTTCTTAAAGCGCAGGTTACTCATAAGGGCTTCAACGACTGTAAAGATATCTGTAAAAGTTATAGATTTGAAACTTATTTTAATGACTAAACTAATTCAAATGACTCTCCCGTGCTCAGGCTGTGGTTGTGGTCGCCGGACAACGGGGAAGGCAATGAGGACAATCTCTGGATACTGAAGAACATTTATAACGTAGACATAGTGGCATGACATTGTCCGTCACCACGTGAAGTGTCATTTGTCAGACCACCTTTTGATATATTTTTTTTCTGCCAGAAAATGGCCTGGTTTACTGAATTGTATAGTTATAAAACATTAAAATTTTTAAAAATTGCTTAGTTTTCAATACCTTAGCCAGGAGGTCTGTTAATGTTTCGTCTCTACACAGCTTTCCATTAAAGCCCTGAAGTGTCACAGATATTTTTTTAATAGGGAAAATCCTCAACTCTTCCATTAAGGAAACTATTAATGGCTTGCCTAACCTTGAGGTGCTTCCGGGGCTTAGCGTCCCCGCGGCCCGGTCGTCGACCAGGCCTCCTGGTTGCTGGACTGATCAACCAGGCTGTTGGACGCGGCTGCTCTCAGCCTGACTTATGAGTCACAGCCTGGTTGATCAGGTATCCTTTGGAGGTGCTTATCCAGTTCTCTTGAACACTCTGAGGGGTCGGCCAGTTATGTCCCTTGTGTGTAGTGGAAGCGTGTTGAACAGTCTCGGGCCTCTGATGTTGATAGTTCTCTCTGAGTACCTGTTGCACCTCTGCTTTTCAACGAAGGTATTCTGCACATCCTTCCATGTCTTCTGGTCTCATGTGGTGTTATTTCTGTGTGCAGGTTTGGGAGCAGTCCCTCAATTATTTTCCACGTGTAAATTATTATGTATCTGTATTATGTAGGGAGCCGGTCGGCCGAGCGGACAGCACGCTGGACTTGTGATCCTGTGGTCCTGGGTTCGATCCCAGGCGCCGGCGAGAAACAATGGGCAGAGTTTCTTTCACCCTATGCCCCTGTTACCTAGCAGTAAAATAGGTACCTGGGTGTTAGTCAGCTGTCACGGGCTGCTTCCTGGGGGTGGAGGCCTGGTCGAGGACCGGGCCGCGGGGACACTAAAGCCTCAAGATAACCTCAAGATAACCTCTCCCGCCTGCGCTCAAGGGAGTACAGATTTAGGCTCTTTAGTCGGTCCTAATAGTTTAGATGTTTTACCGAGTGGATTCTAGCAGTAAAGGATCTCTGCACGCTCTCCAGGTCAGCAATTTCTCCAGCTTTGAAAGGGGCTGTCATTGTGCAGCAGTACTCCACTCTAGAGAGCACTAGCGTTTTGAAAAGTATCATCATCGGTATAGCATCTCTAGTGTGAAAGGTTCTTATTATCCAACCTGTCATTTTTCTTGCAGTTGTGACGGCTACTTTATTGTGTTCTTTAAAGGTAAGGTCTTCCGACATGAGTACACCCAGATCCTTTACATTGCCTTTTCGTTCCATGTTATGATTTGCCTGAGTTTTGTACGTGGTTTCCGTTCTTATATTCATTTTTTCCCGTAGCGCTTCACTGTCACAATGACATAGCATTGTTCCAATGCAGGAGGTGGGGGGGGGGGGAAGGTTGAAGTGGATTACTTGTAAAACCTGGTTGTGGCACTAAATTGTCCTCACTCCCAGTGACCCTGATAAGTATCTACGAAGATTCGCTTTTGTCCTGTGTTTTGTTTGGCAGTGTTAATCTCAAACTTGAACACTGGTTCGACTCCCCGGTGTTCTTTTATATTTTATATTCAAACCCTTCTAATTGGGGAACTAACAAGGCAAACGACTCCTTAAGTTGCCTAACTTCTCTCTCCACAAGGTTTATATTGTGACGCCAGTATGGTTGCGTAATAAGTCTTAAACTATTAAGTTTCTTGTACACTATACATAGCCTTCCCGGTTTGGTGCCTTTTGATAATCACTTCTTGTACACTACCTAAATGCCTATTTGTAGATGAAACGTGTAATAGTTTACCGAGCCAGTTTACCTAGTTTTAAGATAATGGATTAAAAAATGTTGTTAAAGTCTAGCAAGACTATAAATTTCACTAGAAACTTCAGAGGGATGTACTTTTGTTAGTATTAATTTGTAACAAAAAAACCGCGATGTACTGATATTCCGTGTTGAGCTTGTAACATTTAACTTATAATTGTAAACAAAGATGTTTACAGAAATAACTATATATATTTTTTCTAACTACTACGGAACCTCCCTGGAGGTCTCTGGAGGCCCCTGAAGGTCTCTGGAGGCTTCTAGGATGTCCCTGGAGGCCCCCCTAGAGGCCTCTTGAGATCCCTGGAGGCCCCTGGAGATCTCTCGAGGCCCTTGGAGGCCCCCTAGAGGTCCCTGGAGGTCCCCGGAGGTTCCTGGAGGCCCTTGGAGACCACCTGAAGGTCCCTTGAGGCCTCTGGAGGTCCCTGGAAGCTCATGGAGGTCACTGGAGGTCTCTGGAGGCCCCCTGGAGACCTCTTAAGGTTTCCTGGAGCCTCCCTGAAGGCCACCCTGAAATTCCCTGGAGGCCCCTGGGGATCCCCTAGAGGTCCTTGAAGGCGTCCCTGGAGAACCCTGGAGACCCCTTGGATGCCACTGGAAGCCCCTGGATGCCCGTTGAAGTCACTGGAGGCTCAGTGACTTCACCCTCAGGATGTCCCTGGAGGTTTTTGGAGGTCCCTGGTGGCCCCTAAAAGTCTCCTGGAGGTCCCTAAAAGCCCCTGGAGACCACTAAAGTTTCTTGGAGGTCAACCGAATGTCCCTGGAGGCCCCTGGAGACTCCTAAAATTTCCTGGAGGGGGCCCTGAAGGTCCCTGGAAGCCCCCTGAAGGTCCTCGGAGGTCCTGGAGCCTCCCTGAAGGCCCCTAAAAGTCCCTGGAGGCCCCTGGAGATCACTGGAGGTGCCCCTGGATGTCCCTGGAGGCCCCTTGGATATCCTTGAAAGCCTTTGGATGCCCCTTGAAGCAACTGGATGTCCGAGGAGGTCCCCCTGGAGTTACCTGGAGGTCCCTAAAGGCTAGTGAAGGTCCCTGGAGGTCTTTGGAGGCCACTTAAATGTCTCTGGAGGTCCCTTGAGGCCCCTGGAGGTCCTTGGTGGCCTCCTGGAGGTCTCTGGAGGCTCCTGGAGGTCTCTGGAGGCCTCTGGAGGCCCCTTAGGATGTCCGTGGAGGCTTTTTAGAGGCTCCTTAAGGCCCCTGGAGGCCCCTAAAGTCCTCCTGGAGGTCCCTGGAGGTCCCAGGAGGACCCTAGAGGCCCCCCTAGAAGCCTGGAGGTCCCAGGTGGTCCCTGGAGACCCCCTAAAGGTTCCGGGAGGCCCCCAGAAATTCCTGGAAGTCCCTTGAGGCCCCTGGAGATCTCTGGAGGCCCCCAAAATGTCCCTGGAGGCTCCCTATAGGGTCTTTGAGGTCCCTGGAGGTCTAGGAGGCCCCTGGATGCACCTTGAAGTCCTTGGAGGCTCCCTGGATGTCCGTCGAGGTCTGTGGAGGTCTCTGGTGGTAATTTGAGGCCTCTGGAGGTCCCTGGAGGCCCTTTGAATGTCCCTGGAGGTCTCTGGAGGCCGCTGGATGTACCTTGAGGTCCCTTGAGGCCCCTGAAGGTCTCTGGAGGCCTCTAGGATGTCCCTGGAGGCCTCTTGAAGTCCCTGGAGGCCCTTGGAGGGCCCTCTAGAGGTCCCTAGCGGTCCCCTGAGGCCCCTGGACGCCCCCTAAAATTCTCTGGAGGTTCCTGGAGGCCCCCTGGATGTCCCTGGAAGTCCCCGGAGGCCCTCTAGAGGCCCTTTGAGGTTCCTGCAGGTCCCTGGAGGCCCCTAGAGACCCCTAAAGGTTCCTGGTGGTCACCCTGAAATTCCCTGGAGGCCCCCGGAGGTATCCTGGATGTCCGTGGACGTCTCTGGAGGTATCCTGGATGTCCCTGGAGGTCCCGTGAGGCCCCTGGAGGTCTCTAGAGGCCCCTAAAATGTCCCTGGAGGCCTCTTGAGGTCTCTGGAGGTATCTGGAGGCCCCTGGAGACCCCTAAAGGTTCCTGAAGGCCCCTGGAAGTCCCCTAAATGTCCCTGGAGGCCCCTGGAGATCTCTGTAGGCCCACAGGATGTCCCTGGAGGCCCCTAGCAGGCCACGTAAGGTGTCTTTAGGCCACTGGAGGTTCCTTGAGGCTCCTGGAGGTCTCTGGAGGACCCTAGGATGTCCCTGGAGGCCCCCCTAAAGGCTCCTTGAGGCCCCCTAAAGGCTCCTTGAGGCCCCCCTAAAGGCTCCTTGAGGCCCCCCTAAAGGCTCCTTGAGGCCCCCCTAAAGGCTCCTTGAGGGCCTCTGGAGGCCCCTGGAGACCCCTAAATGTTCCTGGAAGCCACCCTGAAATTCCCTGGAGGTCTCTGGAGGCCCCTGGAGGTATCCTAGATGTCCCTGGAGGTCCTTTGAAGCCCCTGGAGGCCCCCTAGAGGCCTCTTGAGGTCCCTGGAAGCCCCTGCAGACCCCTAAAGGTTCCTGGAGGTCCTCTGAAATTCTTTGGAGGTATCTGGAGGCCCCTGGAAGTGGCCTGAATGTCCCTGGAGGTTCCTTGACGCCCCTGGAGGCCCCTAGGGGCCACTTAAATGTCCCTGGAGGTCATTTGAGGCGTCTGGTGGCCCATGGAGGTCCCTGGAGGCCCCTCGAGGCCCCCTTGAATGTCCCTGGAGGTCTCTGGAGGTCTCTGGAGGTCCCTTGAGGCCCCTGAAGGTCTCTGGAGGCTTCTAGGATGTCCCTGGAGGCCCCCCTAGAGGCCTCTTGAGATCCCTGGAGGCCCCTGGAGATCTCTCGAGGCCCTTGGAGGCCCCCTAGAGGTCCCTGGCGGTCCCCTGAGGCCCCCTGAAATTCCCTGGAGGTCTCTGGAGACCCCTTGAGGTCCCTGGTGGCCCCTGGAGACCCCTAAAGTTTCCTGGAGGCCACCCTGAAATTCCCTGGAGGTCTCTGGAGGTCCACAAAATGTCCCTGGAGGCCTCCTAGAGGCCCCTAAAGGTCCCTGGAGACCCCTAAAGGTTCCTGGAGGCCACCCTGAAATTCCCTGGAGGTCCCCGGAGGCCCCTGGAGGTTCCTGGAGGCCCTTGGAGACCACCCGAAGGTCCCTTGATGCCTCTGGAGGTCCCTGGAGGCTCATGGAGGTCACTGGAGGCCTCTGGAGGCCCCCTGAATGTCCCTTTGAGATATCTGGAGGCCCCCAGGATGTCCTTGGAGGCCCCTGGAGACCCGTAAAGTTTCTTGGAGGCCAACCAAATGTCCATGGAGGTTCCTTGAGGTCCTTGGAGGCCGTTGGAGGTCTCTGGAGGCCCCTGGAGACCTCTAAGGT